TGTGACAATACTGACACCTAATTAACGGGACGATATTTTTGAAAGGCTAATAGAACTGTAAATAGGAAACTTATTGCTTTTAAAATACCTTGATAAGACTTTGGCGTGAATCATTCCAATCATAATCCCGAAGAATTCAATTAAAAAAAACATGTTTATTGGTGTTGTTTGTGCTGAAATGAATCATGGGATATGTAGTTCTCTATGTTTATGAGCTGTTGCTACTATAAGACAATACAGTTAAGCAAAGGGACTTGTAATTCGATATATTGTGACAGCTCTCGATATTATTGTGAGATTTTGGATGAAATTACAGCACGATATTTCGATTTTTGTTATATCCCTATAAACTTGCAGTGCCTCGAGCGGTACTCGAACAGGCTCAGATAAGGCTGGGTATCATTAAGAAGTTGCCGATACGATATATAACTCGATACAGTGAGTTGTCCGTCCGATATATTTCAAATCAATTCGATACGCTTCAGTGCAATATAATTCACTTTGATTCAATACGGTTCAATAAAAAAATAAAGGCTAAATCGATGCCGTGACACTAAAAGTCTTTGTTAAACCACTTCTTGTGCAAAGTTCATATGAAAAACAAACATTTTAATCATCAAAACAGTGAATATGTCAAATGTGTTGCATAAGTGAGTTTCCTTCCTCTGAACAAGCAACAAAACTGTAGCGCTGTAACAAAATAATTTAGTAAAATATACCAAAAAATACTCTTCGCGATATATCGATACAGCAGCCCACGATATTGATACTGTTTCATCATATTAAAGGGACAATCTGGAATTTTGGACATAGGGCCTCATTTCCTAGTGAGTCAGAGTGTTGGAGACGTGTGGAGACACTTTTTTAAATATTCCATCCAGTCCTTGTATTTGCAGAGGTCGCTGGTGCTAGACTAGTGCATGTCAATGGCCATAGTTATCCTGCCACTAAAAACAGTCTTACCCACTCCACAAAACACCCGAAGAAAATCTATTATTACACCAGACTGTCCATGTAAATGTCTGTGTCGATAGAATAATTTTAGAAGTAAAACCAAACTTGCATTTGAAGGATTTATGTCTGAGCAGCAGCAGTGAGTTGTACTTCTTGATAGAAAGCTCGGCAGCGGCGGACTGATATATGAGAAAATAGTCCCTCAACATGCGACGATTGCAAGGTTAGTTTTATTTCAAAAATTATTCTATCAACACAGACATTTACATGGACAGTCTGGTGTAATAATAGTTTTGTTTTGGGTGTTTTGTGGAGTGGGTAAGACTGTTTTTAGTGGCAGGATAACTATGGCCAGAAATGGGTCCCTATGTCCAAAATTCCTGACAGTCCCTTTAAATAATTCAATATTTTGATATTTTTGCACACCTCTAGACCCCATCAACACTTTATAAATAAAATGAAATATCCACTACTCACTCTGCAAAAATGTGAGCAGATCTCTTCTTAAAATATGCAGAAAAACATAATATTTCTTTCCATTTGAATTCTCATGTACTACCTTTTATTTGAAATCCATGTTATACAGATTTTTTGATTATCCTGTTATTATCGCTGTGTAACTTTTTTCTAATGAAGACCGAGATGTAATCCTTTCTCATCTTTAATTATCCTCTGTCTTTAGACTGTCTTTAGACTTTAAAGGGAGGATTTTTTTCTTAAATGGCGCTGATTAAAACCCTCAAGTAAAGCACCTATGGCTGATTACAAACCCAGTCTTGTAAACATGGCCTCTGTATTTGAATGTAAATAGGCGAAACGAAGACGGAGGTGTTGAACGAGGTGATGCCGGCTTGAAAAAGGGGGAGTGGTTGTGTTATTTTGGCACCGAGAGGAAGAGGAGGAGGAGGGGTTACACAGACTTAACTCACCTTCAAGTGAAAGTAGCTCTTCTCAGTTCTCCAGATTTACCGAGCTGCTCTCTCACCTCTGACCAGCGCCGCACACAGGTGAGTGATGCTCTTTAAGACTGTGCACTTCAGTTTGTATCTTTTATACGACTATCTTTTAGAGTTAGACTTATCAGACGTGGAGACTTGCAGGTCGTGACTTGGACTCGATTCTTAAGACTTGAAACTTGACTTGATAAAATGGACTAAGACTTGGACAATGATTTTAAATTTGACAAACAGATTAACAATGTTGTAAAATCAAGTTTTTATCATTTGCGGCTTTCTGGTTCAGTCCTGGTTCAGCTCTGGTTTAGTTCTAGTTTAATCTTAGTTTAGTCATGGTCTTGTTCTGGTTCAGTCCTGGTTTAGTCCCGGTTCAGTCCATATATGGCGCAAAAGTTCAGCATTTTTGCAGTTATTTTGGTGAGAGTAACTTAAAAGTGCCGCAAAAGTTGTGTAACGTCTTACATTTTAAATAGAGTAATATTGTAATGTAACAAATGACTTTGAAATGACAGTAACAAGTCATAAATAACACATTATAGTTTTAAAGTAACTTGCCCAACAGTGTCCAGACCTGATGTTATAAATACATGAGCCTCAACCTAAAGAAGCTGGACTTTATCACAGAGCTAATGTGCTTGTCCAGTTTGAACATAAAGTCCACAATCCCCCCAAGATTCCTCACTGCAAGGAGACAAGCATAGGAGGACAGAGGACCAATCACACGGCCCTGCCCAAGCGTAAAAAGAGATTGCAGTCAATTAAAGCCAACAAGATCTGTGTTTATAACTGTGACAGAAAGTGTAGCTAGACTAAAATCTTATGTTATGACAGATTATTACAACATTATTTAGATACTTGATGCACTGATTTTTTAACAATGAGTCTATATAGTTATTATTGTGACAGGCCAACTGAAAGCAACTCTTTATTTAGTTTAATTTTCTATTTGCAGAGAGACACATGAGTCATGGAGACCAGCTTTAAACAGGAGCAGAGCAACCAGACCGTCACTGCATCACCTGAACCTAAGCTCTACGAGTGTGACCAGTGTGGAAGGTCCCTGGCTACAGCGCAGTCCCTCCAAACACACATGAGGATCCACACTGGTGAGAGACCTTACAGCTGTGACCAGTGTGGGAAGGCCTTTATACAGCAATCTGGTTTAAGTGAACACCAGAGCATCCACAGCGGACTGAAGCCCTTTAAGTGTGACCAATGTGAGAAGAGCTTCAGGAATAAGAAGTTAATGACCAATCACCAACGCCTGCACAAAGACGATCGGCCGTACAAGTGTGACCAGTGTGATAAATCTTATAAGCAGTCACAACATCTCAGAGTTCATTACCAAGCCCACACACGAGACAAACTGTTCACCTGTGAATTCTGTTTGAAGATTTTCAAAACACCAGGGCAACTGTCAATGCACCGATGGACCCACACGAGAGAAGAGACCGCTTACAAATGTGACCATTGTGGAAGGAGCTTCCCTCAGACCAGCGCTTTGAAACGCCACCTGAACATCCACACACAAGACAAAAAATACAGCTGTGAGGAGTGTGGGAAGACATTTACTGACAAAACCACACTTAGGTTCCATATGAGAATCCACACTGGAGTTAAGCCATTTGAGTGTGACCAGTGTGGGAAGACCTTCATCTCATCTGGGAACCTGAAAAAACACATGAGCATTCACACAGATGAGCGGCCGTACAGCTGTGGTGAGTGTGGTAAAAGCTTCAAAAAGGCAGAAACGCTTTGTAAGCACAAGAGCATTCACACGGGAGAGAAGCCCCACCAGTGTGACCAGTGTGGGATGAGCTTCAGACTTGAGGAGTCGCTCAAAAGTCACCAACTCATTCACAGCAAAGAGCGGCCATTCAAGTGTGACCAGTGTGATAAGGCTTTTAAAACCTTTAAATACCTCTCTGATCATGTCCGACTCCACACAGGAGACAAGCCATATGTCTGTGGTGTGTGTGGCAGTGCCTTTTCATACCTGTCTAATTTAAATAGACACATGAACAGCCACAAACTCCAGCTTTCCGAAACCACCATTTTGGTGAAATAGCAAACAAACTCAGTTTATCACCAGGACACGTATTATTTCATAATATCTCCTTTAATCTCCATTTCATAATATTTCTTTTAACAATACTTGAGTCTGTGCAAAGACATCAGGATCATGTCTGCCTCCTCTGGAGGCTGCTGTCATCAGGTTCCATCTTTAGTCTGATTTTATTTCATTCTGTTTTTGAATGATGTTTTCAAATCTTCATTTGATATCCTTTCAGTTGTACACTGTGTGTAAAATTTTAAATAAACAGTGTTACATCACTTCAGTTCGCTGTGTTCTTTTTTGCTGTCAGTTCATTTCTTTGCTTATAAAATAAAATGTGGATGTCATAGATTTAGACAACCTGCAGGTACATATATTTGTATTCATTATCAAATGTATTTTACATTATTGTTTTGTACAGCAGTGCATTGTGTAGACAGTAGATGCTGAGTACTTTACTTTAAGTGGATACTTTTTAGTTTTACTTTGCTACATTTGAGAGAAGGTATCTTCTACTCCATGACATTTTTTTAACAGTATTTTTTATTATAATCTGACACCTGCTGAAAAGACTGTGGGATTTTGTTTTATATAAAGCTTTTAAAATCTTTGTTAGATCTCATTGTCTATGCAAAATACTTTTTACTCTTTACAGGTACTTTGATCATTTTACTTAAGTTGATTTTTCGTGTGATACTTTTACTTGAGTATATTTTTGCTCTGGTACTTTTAACTTTTAAGTGACATAAGTGAGAACTTCTTCCATTCCACATTTCTAATCTACACATAAATGTCTAGGCCTCACACTTCAGGTACAAGACTGATTATATTTAGGGGCATATTTTGGTCCAGGCCAATTCATATTCATAGAGATTGTTCATTGTTCATGTTCAACCAGGTCTAAACCGGGACTGAACCAAGATTTTCTTTGTCATAAAACACCACTTGGTCTTGGTCTTGTAAATGTGTGACGTGCATTTGTGCGTGTGAATGTAAATAGTCTGATCTGTGTGTTGTGAGCAGTGAATAGGCAGGGGGAGTGTTCCTGTGGGGGAGGCTTTAGTTCCTCTGACGTTCCCTCCCCTCCTCTCATGCTCACAGCAGCAGGAGCCTCGTCTGTAGCACAGAGTCGAGCACAGAGTTTACCGGAGCTGTCTGCAGAGCTACAAACCACGTAAGTAAACAGCTTGGACTTTCTAATGTTCACCCTTATGTGTTTATACCACCATGTTTGACATTAGCTGCAAAGACGCTCAGTTCTTTTTATATTTTCTTCCTTATGCATGCTACTTAGCAATAGCCTCCTGATAGCCTGCCCTGCTACCAAACACAAACAAGATTTAGGTTTGATGGGTTTGTTCAGTGTAGCTAAGCGAATGAATGAATGAGTTTTTGCAGTCTGACACCTTTGGATGTCAGACCTGAGAAGCTCAGTGTTGGTGCAGGAGGATTAGATCTGTACAGTGGCCAGTGCAGCTAATTCTGCTGTGTTTAGCTCCTTTTTCACTAGACTCACTTTAAAATGTGACCATAATAGGGATGTAACGATATCCAAATCTCTCAGTACGATATTTATTACGATATATATTTCTAGATAAGACACTTTTTGGCTTTTAAAATACCTTGACAAGATTTTGGTGCGAATTATTACTGTCAGAATCTCAAGAATCCAAGTCAAAATCATATTTCTTCATGTTGTCTGAGCTGAAATGAATCATGGGATATGTAGTTCCCGATGTTTATAAGCTTTTCCTACTAAAGAACAATGCATTTAAGCAAAGGAACTTGTGACATCTCTTGATATTATTGCGAGACGATACGATATCATGATATTTCTTTGTTTATTGTTACATCCTTAGACTATAATATAAGTGCTCCACAGTGTTTTTAAACTCCGTACACCTTTAATAAAATGATTTGACTCATTTGCAGCTTTGGAATTGACAAACTTTGAAGCTACAACTGTTTTATTTCAGTGTGATAATGTTTTATAAGATGACAGGTGACTTTTAATCACTGCATCGTGAAGAGACCTCAAAGGTTTTTTTAACCATTGTGTAAAATGCAAACAAACCTTAAACAACATCGATGTGGTTCATATAAAAATAGCATGTAGTTGATCAATGTCTGAACGGAAATCAGCTGGAAAGTCCCCCTGAATTGTAGTCTGATTCATCAGCCGGTTTCACTTTGTAGAAACCGTCTGACCTCACAGTGTAAGAATTTGTTCGCTCAAATGTAGGCGGGTACTTCTTATCATTTAACCAATCGCTGCTATTTGGTCGTGATATATGTAATGCACCACTAACAGGGCTAACTGGTATATTAAGCTTTTCCCAAATCCCGTAGGAAGAAGGACAATAACGTCTTTCACCTTTGATAAAATTCACCAAACATTCTCTTTGTTCCGGCTTTAAATCCTCGATCTCGGGAATCGTTGCCAACACAGAATGTATGTCTCTTCGCTGATTGGCCAGTGCCTGAACTCACACTTCCAGGGTTCAAGCAAACTGTCTAGTGCAGGCATGTCCAAACTATGGCCCGTGGGTCAAATGCGGCCCTCAGACAAATTTTTCTTGGCCCTCAGTCTTCCAGGAGAATTGGCCTCATTTAAAACTTAACCTTTTAATGCAAGTTTGTTTGTTTTTTTTATCTATTGAGCTAATATTTAACATTTACTGTGTGGTTTTAAGGATCTTGGCATGAATAAAGACTGATGGCTCATTCTAACGTGTTAAACGTGCACATATTTCAATTATTCACTGTACTGAGCACCAGTCTACGGCCCTCGATCAGTCCTCTGCTTCATCTGTGTTTAGATATGTGGCCCTTGATGAGAAAAGTTTGGACACCCCTGGTCTAGTGTATTCTGATTCCTGACCTAGTCGCTGGAGAGAAATTAAATTGAGTGGAGGCACTAGGTGGCACCAGCCTGGCTACCTGAATTGTGCCCTTTTGTGAAAGTTAGTTAATCTATATACATTAAAAACAAAAAACAAAAAAAACATGTTTTCATTATATATTGTATTAATTATACAAACAATATATCAACTCATTTTTTCATATATACAAACAAAACATGCCAAAATGATGTTGTCTCAAACACATACAAGTAGAGTAAATACTGTACAATGTGTCAAATTACTCCTCAGGAATAGTCCACCAGGCACACTCCGGTGTCCTCAATAAATGTGCCACAACTATTTTAGGATTTTATCTGATGTATTTCAATTAAATCCATAGTTAAGACACCTTTCTAAAAGTAAATTCTGAATGATTTTTGAACAAATTCTGTAGCTTTCTATGTTTCTTGTGTTGCGCTGCTTACATATATTTTCATGGCCACGCATTTCGGGAACTAATTAATATTTCTTCTCATATCAACAGTTACAGTTGATATAAAATGATTTTAAATAAGATTTCATAATAAACTTCTGTGAGCAAATGAGGATTGTATTGATATTACGTACTGAAAAAATGTGTGTTGCTTTGGGAAGATTGGTAAAATGACAAAAACAAGGCCCGACATTTGGTCTCGCTACACTGACATTTCATTTTATTATGATATAGAAGCTGATTTTTTAACTCAATACTTCACATACTAAAGGTGAAAACGTCCCCCCTCTCCTGGGCACAACATTTACCCGTGTGCTGCCCAAGAGAAAAGGTTGTCCGGACGTTTCTGCTGAGAGAATGGGACGCTTGAGCTGGGACTTTCAAGCCAGGCGGACGTTCGTTTAAACCCACGGGCCATTCTGTGCTCTTGTATAATGTTCAGTTGCTCATGTGGGAAAATATAATCATAACCCAAGTTGAGAAATCATGTGTAAGCTCATCACAGTGTATAAAGAAGGATGTTAGTAATACATTAAGTTTAAGTTAAAGTGAAGTACAGTGCCTTTAATTCTATTTTCATGCATATTGTTGTGTGTTTAAGTACTACAGCAACTCTTTATTCAGTCTAATTCTCTATTTCCAGAGAGTTGCATCACACTCATGGAGCTGAGGCGTGATGTGGCCACTGAGATCAGCTTTAAACAGGAGCAGAGCAGCGAGGCTGTCACCACGTCACCTGAACCTAAGCGCTACGAGTGTGACCAGTGTGGAAAGTCTCTGGCCACAGCACGTTCCCTCCAATCACACACGAGGGTCCACACTGGTGAGAGACCTTACAGCTGTGACCAGTGTGAAAAGACTTTCAAACTACAGTCTGGTTTAAGTGTGCACCGGAGGACTCACAGTGGACTGAAGCCTTTTAAGTGTGACCAGTGTGGGAAGAGGTTCTTTCGGCGCAGCTGCGTGACACGACACATGAACATCCACACACGAGACAAAATATACCGCTGTGAGGAGTGTGGGAAAACATTAAATGACAAAACCGCGCTTAAGTACCATAGGAGAATTCACACTGGAGTTAAGCCATTTGAGTGTGACCAGTGTGGGAAAACCTTCATCTCATCTGGGCAACTGAAACAACACTTGATGGTGCATTCTGATGAGCGGCCGTACACCTGCGGCGAGTGTGGTAAAAACTTCAGAAAGTCTGAAAACCTTCGTAAACACAAGAGCATCCACACCGGAGACAAGCCCCACCAGTGTGACCAGTGTGGGATGAGCTTCAGACTTATAGGAACGCTGAAAATTCACCGGCTCATTCACAGCCAAGAGCGGCCATTCAAGTGTGACCAGTGTGATAAAGCTTTTAAAACTTTTAAAAACCTCTCTGCGCATGTCCTAATCCACACAGGAGACAAGCCGTACGTCTGTGGTGTGTGTAGCAATGCTTTCTCATACCCGTCTAACTTGACTAGACACATGAACAGCCACAAACTGCAGCTACAGCCGCCATTATGTTGACATAACGGACAAACTCAGTGTATCACCAGGGCACATATTATATCAGAATATAAAATAATATAATATAAAAATACTTGAGTCTCTGTGAAGACGTTCCATCTTTAGTTTGATTTTATTTCACTCAGGTTTTGAATCACATTGTCAGATCTTTATTTGATATTATTTCTGTGTGTAAAATAAAAAAAATAAACAATGTTGCATCACTTCCATTTAGTGACCTTCTTTTGTTGTCAATACTTTGCTTAGAATATGCTCATAAAATGTTTTTTGTTTTGTTTTTTTTTTTAGCAGATTCATAAATTAGTTGACTAACAAATGTATTTTTCCTTATTCTTTTGAACAGCAAAAACATTGTGCAGACCATTGTTTCCCAAAGACTGGGTCTTAATATTAGATTTTTTTTTTTTCTTGTCACGGTGCGCATGTAGGTCTGTAATATACACTTCTGACACATGAGAGAGCGAGTGAGTCAGAGAATACTATTTGCCTGCCCTGAACGAGTGTTCCTGCAGCTAAAATTGAGAAATGCTTGCTTGGTTGATCCAAAAAGAAGGGTGATGAATCAGCAAAGGTCAGTGCACTTCAGGATCCCTTTATTGTTGATTCAATTACTCTTTTTCATTGTTTAAAACTTATTGTAATACTAATTGTTCAGAGAGACACGATCACTAAGTCAACAATAAAATATCCTCATTAATGTTCAATAATGTCAAATCCAAGTTTATTTTGTGATTGACAAGTAATGTCTATTGACTGGAGTTGTAAAGGTTTATAACTTTTAAAATGTGGATCCCCAGACAAAAAGGTTTGGGAAACACTGGTGTAGACAGTAGAGATTTTAGGTATCAGCAGTTTTTAAGTGGATACTGTTACTTAACATTTAAGAGAAGGTATGTGTAAGATAAGATAAGATCAGATAAGATAAGATATGCCTTTATTAGTTTCACAGTGGGGACATTCCAACGTTGCAACGCGCAATTCAAGAACAGCAGGAAAAAGGTAACATGCAATAAAACAGATAAAAAATGATGGCTTAAAAATAGACCTGCGAAACCTCTCCTTCACACAGCGAGGGTGAATCGCTTTCTGCTTCTCTACATTTCTTTTAAATAAGACTTCTAATAGACACAGACGACTTACACTTAGACAAACTTCACTGCTCCACAAGGGACATTATTTGGACAGAGTAGCTCACACATCACAATAACAAATAGTAAAAAAAATATGAATGGTAAAAATAAATTATAAATAAGTAGCAAAAAAAGATAGCAACAGACTGGTGTCAATAAGGCATAATCATATAAATGTAAATGTACAAGTCAAAATAAAGCAAAAAATATGTAACAAAAATATCTCAGCTATCTGCAAGACGTCAAAAGACACAAAAAGTATGTGGTGACTGACAGGATATACGTTTATCTGTTACATAGGAGTGAGTTGTTGTACAGTTGTAAAGAGTATGGCAGGAATGTATTTGGGACTTTTCTTTTGGTTGTTTTTTCAAAAGTTTGGTTCGTTGTTCCTCTCTGAAAACCTGACACACCAGAAAAACAATCCAGCACTTCCCCCTGCCGCCCTTTATGACCTCATTCATGTCTTATCTTTGCCCCAAAACCTGTCAGACCAGACAATGTACAGCTGAACAAAGACCTGAACAGGGGCGAACTGGTTGGCCTATGAGACATTCAAGCGTGTCTAGTAATTTAGGAAAACAAAAGACAAATTGAATATTGATGTCCCATGTTCATTTGTAAGTTAATTTGTCCTCGCAGAAGTTAAAGGATCTATATTACTTTATTTTCTGATGTTGTTTCCTCATCACAAACAGACCTGGAGTTGTGTTTTGTTTCATTCACACATGTTTAACTCACAAACGCTGCATATTTAGCCTGAGTTCTTTAATGAAAGTCTCACAAAAATCCTACATTTTTTGTGTCAGTGTGGGTTTTTTTTTTTTGTGAGTCTTGTCAAGTCTGACTAAAATTAACCCCTGACCCCATATACAAAAAATACTGGACAAGTTTGTTTCCATAAAAGTTATATTGATATATTTCTGTAGCACGTGAACCAACAACCATTAGCAGGGTTGCAATAAGTATTGAAAATCAGAAACTTTCGATACTAAAGTCTGTATTTATGGAGTTACTTTTGTCTCATTAATATTCACAAACACACATATGATGATCTACAAATAGTCATTGGTTTGTACATGTGTTTTGATTTCCACAAATGCAAATTTCATATTTGTAACTTGTACTTTGGCATTTTTACAAATAGATGTGTATTTGTAAATGTATCTTTTTTCATTTGCAAAAAAAATATTTCATTTGTAAAACTGAAAATTCTATTTCACTCAGACAGAGTTTGTGGATTTCTCAAAACGAGTGTCTCAAAATTAAGTCATACTGGAAATCGATGGATTCAAACTGGTGATTCACAAATGTGCAAATCACATTTTACAAACAGAATTTTCAGTTTTAAAAATGAAATATTTTTTTTTGCAAATGAAAAGAGATATATTTGCAAATACACATCTATTTGTAAATACCAAAGTACAAGTTACAAATGTTAAATTAAATATTATCACCATCTGTGCATTTGTGAATATTAATGAGACAAAAGTAACTCCATACAGTTTAGATTAATAGACTTTATCAACACCAGTATAAGAACCACATGGTAACTTAAAGAAACCAAAGAAAGCATTTTATTTTATTTTATTTCATTTCATTTCATTTCTTTTCATTTCATTTCTTTTCTTTTCTTTTTTTCTTTCTTTTCATTTCATTTCTTTTGTTTTTATTTCTTTTTATTTCTTTTCTTTTTATTTCTTTTTATTTTATTTCTTTTTTTTTTTTATATATATATTTTTTTTAATTTTATTTTTTTTTTTATTTTATAGTGTTTTGATTTTTGTTTTCAGCATTATGGTATCTAAATTTGTGTAAAATATCAAGTCATTTCTTTGGTATTGAAATTGAGTTTGGAATTTTAGTTTTGTGACAACTCTAAATGTCAGTTCTTAAATAGTAGTTATACTGATAAGTTTACACCAGTGAATATTTGTTATTACATATTTACCAGTGTTCCAGTTTTTTCTACTGTAAGTATCCCCTCAAATAAAGTTCCTGTCGCTGATTACAAACCCACTCTTGTAAACTTGGTGACTGTATCTGAATGTACATATAGTCTCATATAGGTGAAACTAAGAAACAGGTGTTGAAAGAGGCAATACCAACTTGAAAAAGGGGAGTGGTTGTATTATTTTGGCACTGAGAAGAGGAGGAGGGGTTCAGACTTTTAAAAGCTTCAAGTGACAGTAGCTGTTCTCAGTTCTCCAGATTTACCGAGCTGCTCCCTGACCTCCGACCAGCGCGACACACAGGTGAGTTCAGTTTGTAGCTTCTGAATCCGTGTATCATTTGTTCATTTGTTTTTCAGTATAAAACCAAAAATAAGAAAACGAAACAACAACTGTTTTCTTTATTATTTGTCTCCAAAACCAAAATGAAAAAATAGATAATGATTCGTTTTTCAGTTTTTGATTTTGTGTTTAAATGAATAATGGGGAAAAAAGGATAACGACGTTTCCGTGACTTAAACTACGATGCCGGACTGAACCAGGACTAAAACAGGACTAAAACAGGACTAAACCGTTTTCAGTCCTGGTCTGGTCCCAATCTGGTCCAGATTTGGTCCCGGTCTGGTCCCGGTTTCAGTCCCAGTCTAGTCCCAATCTCAGTCCCAGTCTCAGTCCCGGTCTGGTCCTGGTCTCAGTCCCAATCTCAATTACGGTCTGGTCCCAGTCTCAGGTCGTTTTCACACCGCTAGTTCGATTATTTGGTCGCACCAGGCAATAAAATTGTTATTATGTAGCAAATACACTCCAGTGTGGTCCGCGTTCACACCGGCAAACGAACCAAAACTGGTTCGATTGACGTGTCTCTGTTTCCCCGGTAAAACAGCGATACTCCAGTTATCAACACCGATGTTCCTGTTAAAACCACGGGCCGTCCTCATCTCAAATTATCACCATGAACTCATAAAACAGCAACATGTAGAACTTTGTACAAACTCACCGCATCAGCCCAGAGTTCGGGTAACAGCAGCAGCCAACAGCTCCTCAGGACGGGGCTGGGGTCTGGTCCTTGGTCTGTTACAAGTTCGCGTTGGTCAGATGGTCCGGAGGCTTCATCCTCCATGTGCTGGTTCCAAACGGTGGCGAACAAGACCAGTGCTTGATGGACTGAGTCCGAGCGGGTACGTTCCGTCGTCTGCGCGCTGTTTCCGTGCGGGAAAAGCAAGAATGCGCTGTGGACTACAGGTCCGGACGCGCTGCTCCGGTTCTCCGCGCTCAAGAACCGCGGCTGGTTCCAAGGTGGTGCAGCATCCGGACAGAAGCGTGAGTCCAGTTTGGTTTGTTATATGTTGTTCTGAGCGTCCGTCCTCCGCGCATTTGGTTCTTCCCGGGGAAAGCGCTTCCTCAGGTCGAGGCTCCCCGCTCCAGCTCCTCTGAGCCCGGCCTGAACCGGACCTGCCCCCGCTGGTTCAGGACTCTGGTTTGGATCTAGTCCGACTGTTTCTCACACTAGGCTAAAAACAGGGACTTTTTTAAGTTGTATCAATTGAATGGGCGATTGCCTATTGCCATGAAATTATTTGGTTAATTAAAGCCTAAAATAACAAATGTTGGTTGCTGTGTGATCACGGGGAACACCGGGTCGTCTCTGTGCGTGTAGGTCCCGAACAGGGGTACGCACCCCCAATTTTGACTCACTCTGGAGCCACACGTTCGCACACTGATACTTGCTCTGATCTTCGTGTGTTACATTCTCTGTATTGGCCATTGTTGGTAAAATAATTCGAAAATGAATCGCGTCTGCGTCTGGACAACAATCTGTTACTGCGCTGGAGTCGTACAGCGTCATTTCAGGCAGAGGAGACGCGTTTCCTCCCATGATGCATTTCGAATAGTCCGTTTGTCCATACTGTCTATGGTTTGGACCCGGGTTCGCGTTCACACCAGAAGAACCGCACCAAAGTTGGTCATTTCGTGCGGATTCAAGCGAACCGAGACCACCTCTTTTTTGCGGTCTCGGTCCGCTTGATTTGGTTCGGGTCCGAGTCCGATTGACGCTTTCACACCAACGCAAACGAACCGAACTAACCACTTTTGGTTCGAATGGACCGTTTGGTGCGCACCAAATACTGTCGGTGTGAAAACACCCTCAGTCCTGGTCCTGTTCCCAGTCTTAAGGCCCGGTCTCAGTCCCGGTCTGGTCCTGGTCTCAGTCCCAGTCTCAATTATAGTCTGGTCCTGATCTGGTCCCGGCCTCAGTCCTGGTCTCAGTTCTGGTCTGGTCCCAGTCTCGGGCCCAGTCACAGACCCTGTCTCAGTCCTGGTCCTGTTCCTGGTCCTGTTCCTGGTCTCAGTCCTGGTCTGGTCCCGGTCTGGTTCCGGTCTGGTCCTGGACCTGGTTTAGTCCTGGTTTTAGTCCTGAATTCAGTCCTTGTTTAGTCCTGGTTCAGTCCGGCTTCGCAGTTTAAGTCACGAAAAGGGGAAACGAAAATGAATCATTATCTGTTTTTTCATTTTGGTTTTGGAGACAAATAATGAAGAAAATTTTTGGTTTTATTTTGAAAAACAAATGAGCGAATGATACATGGATTTTTTGTACTACTACCTTTTCTAGGCAGACCACATATTTTCTGCTGACTTATTATGACAGTGTGCTCATGTTTTGTAATTTGTTGTAAAAGAAAGGCAGGACTGTTTTATGTTTTATGTAAATATATCAATTCACCTAACTTAGAATAGTCCTGATTTAGAGAGTACGATTTAATGAAGACATATCTGCTGATAAAAAGAGATGGCAGCTGATTAAAGCTTACAAGGTTCTACTTGATCACGTTGATCTATGGTTATGGTTGGTTATGGTTAAGGTTGAGGTAAGAAGTTAGGCTTAGTCAGACAGACAGTGAGCAGTGACTGGGAGTTAGTGAGTTATACACATTATTACAACATTCTGAATATGTTTAATACACTGGTTTATTGAACAATGAGTCTGTATAGTTGTTATTGTGACAGACTGAAAGCAACTCTTTATTTGGTCCATGCTGACTGAGTGACCAGAAAAATTAATAAATCTCTTGGTATTATAAAAAAAAGTTTTACAATTTTTGCACTCAGTCTATACTTACATTATACTCTAGTTTAATTTATGTCTATCTGTCATGTTGTAATATAGTCTGGGCTGCACTTTCTCTACTCCTCTGAACAAAATATTTTGTTTTGTTCTAATTGCAACTCATTCTATGTCACTAACATCATCTGCTAATTTATTCATCAAACTTCACATTCTTAATATCTATGATATTAATATTTATCAAATTGGTATTTTTGTGTATAAAATTCTTTATAATTCAATGACGATCCCCAAACATTTCACATTTTACTTTAAAACCAATGCAGAGATTCATAGAAAAAAAACTCGTCAAAATCATAATTTTCATTTGTTCCAAAATGTGTCACATCAAGAGCTCATTTTTGCTACGATACAGAGGCTGTAAATTCTGGAGCCAGTTTTCACATCTGGTTAGTGACGGCAGATCAGTGGTGTTGTTTAAAAATAGTTTGAGGAAATGTTTGATATTTCATGGTAATGTTTGATAATCATTGAATTGTGGATGTTTTATGTGTTTTAATCCATGTTTGAATCAAATGGATTTAATCCATGGTGTTTAAATGTAACTTTTAATATATTTTTTATGTATCTTTTTTTTTATTGTTACGTTATACATACAAAATAAAATAATTAAAATAATAAATACAAAATACAAAAATAAATAATATATTTTTTAAATATATAAATAAATACAAAAATTAAATAGTCTAATTTTGTATTTGCAGAGAGACATATGAGTCATGGAGAGCAGCTTTAAACTGGAGCAGAGCAGGCAGACCGTCACTGCATCAGCTGGACCTAAGCGCTACGAGTGTGACCAGTGTGGAAAGTCCCTGGCTACAGCAAAGACCCTCCAAAAACACATGAGGGTCCACACTGGTGAGAGACCTTACAGCTGTGACCACTGTGAAAAGACTTTCAGACTACAATCTGGTTTAAGTGTGCACCAGAGGACTCACAGAGGACTGAAGCCTTTTAAGTGTGACCAGTGTGGGAAGAGGTTCAGTTGGCGCAGCTCTGTGCCACGACACATGAACATTCACACACGAGACAAAATATACCCCTGTGAGGAGTGGGAAAATATTAAATGACAAAACCGGGCTTAAGTACCATAGGAGAATTCACACTGGAGTCAAGCCATTTGAGTGTGACCAGTGTGGGAAAGCCTTCATCTCATCTGGGCAACTGAAAAAACACATGGCAATGCATTCTGATGAGCGGCTGTACAGCTGTGATGAGTGTGGTCAAAGCTTTAAACAGGAGAAACTCCTTTGTAAACACATGAACATCCACACCCAAGACAAAATATTCAGCTGTGACGAGTGTGGAAAAACATTTAATGTCAAAAGCACACTTAAGTACCATAAGAGAATTCACACTGGATTTAAGCCATTTGAGTGTGACCAGTGTGGGAAAACCTTCGCCTCATCTGGGCAACTGAAACAGCACATGGAAGTGCATTCTGATGAGCGGCCATACAGCTGTGATGAGTGTGGTAAAAGCTTCAAAAACGTGAGAACATTTCGTGAACACAAGAGCATCCACACTGGAGACAAGCCCCACCAGTGTGACCAGTGTGGGAAGAGTTTCAGACTTGTGAAGTTGCTCAAAAGTCACCAGCTCGTTCACAGTGAAGATCGACCATTCAGGTGTGACCAGTGTGATCAGACTTTTAAAGCCTTTACACACCTCTCTGATCATGTCCGACTTCACACAGGAGACAAGCCGTATGTCTGTGGTGTGTGTGGCAATGCTTTTTTAAACTTGAGAAAGTTACATAATCACATGAACATCCACACATGAGTCAAAAAATACAGCTGTGAGCAGTGTGAGGAAGCATTTAATGATAAAAGAATGTTTTAGGAGACTTCACAGTGGAGTTAAGAAATTTGAGTGTGACCAGTGTGGGAAAGTCTTCAGGTCATCTAGGAACCTGAAAATACACATGATCATGCATTCTGATGAGCGGCCTTTCACCTGTGATGAGTGTGGAAAAAGCTTCAAAAGGGTGAAAACCCTTGATGAGCACAAGAGCATCCACACTGGAGACAAGCCCCACCAGTGTGCTCAGTGTGGGATGAGCTTCAGACTTGTGATGTCGCTCAAATGTCACAAGCTCAATCACATTAAAGAGCGCCCATTTGAGTGTGACGCGTGATAAAGCTTTTTAAACCTTTACATACCTCCCTGATCATGTCCGACTCCACAGAGGAGACAACCCATATGTCTGTAGTGTGTGTGGCAGTGCTTTTTCACTCTCAGGTAGCTTAAATAAACACATGGCCAGCTACAAACTGCAGCTACAGACTTTTTCAGAGACCAGCACTTTGTTGAAATAACAAACAGTGTATTACCAGGATATGTGAAACATATGACAGCTGGAACAGTATCTTTTGGGGTTAGTATTTATCATGTGTACATTTTTGGTTAAACTAAGTGTATCACCAGGGCATATATCACTTCATAATATCACTTCATAATACATCTCCTATAACAATACTTGAGTCTGTGTGTAGACATCAGCAGGATTTCACTGTCATGACTGCCCCTTCTGGAGGCTGCTGTCAACAGGTTCTGTCTTTAGTCTCATTTTATTTCATTCTGTTTTTGAATCATGTTTTCAAATCTTTATTTGATATTTGTACAGACAGTTGTACACTGTGTGAAAAAATTAAAATAAACAATGTTACATTACTTCCATTCATTGTCTTTGTGGTCAATACTTTGCTTTTAATATGCTCATAAAATGTTCTTTTGTAATTAGTTTTTTTTTTTTTAGAGATTCATAAATTAGTAGACTATCAAATGTATTTCAATGAAATATATTCTTTTGTACAGCAAAAACATTAGTAGTGTAGAGATTTTAGGTATCAGTAGTTTTAAAGTGGATACTTTTACTTCACTACATTTGAGAGGAGACATCTGTACTTTTCACTTCTCTAAATTTTTGAATAGGACTGAAGTGAACATAAACCAACAGGTTTTGAAAGGCTGCACTGCTGCAGGGTGAAGGGGACAGCAGGGAAGAATGTGCCTCAAGACTGAGAAAGTATGTGAAGAATTCTTAGGCTGGTCAATACCGACACTGAAAACAACGACTTCAGTGGTTTCAATGCAAAGGAGGAAGATGAAGAGAGTGATGAGTGACTTTTCTGTTAGGTGAAAATACCTACAGTAAATCAGTGAAAAGAGTTCATGAATTAATGAAGCTTTGTTTTAGCCACTTCAAATCTCCTACACGGGTGTCAACAGTAAACCATCACAGTTTTGTGAGACTGTGTTCAGACTGAGTTTAAAGTTAAACTTTAAGGTTTATTTTCAGACTTCCAGAGGCTACAGGCCGGTTTACTGTAGTTTTACTGCTGTGTTACAGGCACTGTTTGGAAAAAGCATGTACCAACATTTACAGTAATTAAAAATGTAAATAATCTTTCTGTGTACCATCTTTCTATCTAAATATCTCAAGCTGCTGCTTATAGTCAAGTGCAGCTTATATAGGTACATTTTTTTTTTTTTTTTTCTTTTAAAATTTGGTTGATGTGGCTTATATTCAGGTGCGCTCAATAGTACGGAAATTACGATACTTCTTCCAGCAGTGCATACCCTACCATATTACTTATCTAAACAGATATGCATAGGCCTCACACCTCAGGTATATTACAAGACGACTGAGGGATGGTTCCTCACAGGGGCTCCTCAGGGTGGTGGTAGTAACATGTTTACTTCTTGCTGACTTATTGATAAATGTCCTTAATTTTTCTATTGCAGATTTTCTTTGTCATAAAACACCACTTGGTCTTGGTCTTGTAAATGTGTGACGTGCATTTGTGCGTGTGAATGTAAATAGTCTGATCCGTGTGTTGTGAGCCGTGAATAGGCAGGGGGAGTGTTCCTGTGGGGGAGGTTTCAGTTCCTCTGATGTCTCTCCCCTCCTCTCATGCTCACAGCAGCAGGAGCCTCGTCTGTAGCACAGAGTCGAGCACAGAGTTTACCGGAGCTGTCTGCAGAGCTACAAACCACGTAAGTAAACAGCTTGGACTTTCTAATGTTCACCCTTATGTGTTTATACCACCATGTTTGACATTAGCTGGAAAAATGCTCAGTTCTTTTTATATTTTCTTCCTTATGCATGCTACTTAGCAATAGCCTCCTGATAGCCTGCCCTGCTACCAAACACAAACAAGATCTGGGTTTGATGGGTTTGTTCAGTGTAGCTAAGCGAATGAATGAATGATTTTTTTCCTGGATGTCAGTCCTGAAAAGCTCAGTGTTGGTGCAGGTGGATTAGATCTGTACAGTGGCCAGTGCAGCTAACTCTGCTGTGTTTAGCTCCTTTTTCACTAGACTCACTTTAAAATGTGACTATAATGTATGTATGAGTTAAATTATGTCCTCTGTCCACTATAGTACAGCTCAATTTCAATGTAAACTGTCAGAATTGGACTAATTAACGTTGATATTTACATTTAATGGTCTGTTTTTTGTTAGTTCCTCATCACAAACAGACCTGGAGTTGTGTTTTGTTTCATTCACACATGTTTAACACACAAACGCTGCATATTTAGGCTTAAAGTGCTTTTCTCAAATAAAAAAACACTTTGTTCCACCTTATGATGCCATGTGGTGATACAGGAAGTGCTCCACTGTGTTTTTAAACTCCATACATCTTCACTAGAATCATTTGCAGCCTTGGATTTGCTGATCTTTGAAGCTGCAGCTATTGTTATTTCTCTGTACCCCAGAACACAGTGTAGACTTTCAGTTGCAATCTCAACAAAACAAAAGGAAATAAAAATAAATGAGAACAATTTAAGGAATTACTTATTCTAATGAATTGTAAACCAAATTGTAAAAAACTACCACTTGCAACTGTGCACTTTGAGCTTTGGAGATGTAGACAGCCCAGTAATGCAGGATTACTCAAACATGTGTGAATGAAACCAAAACACAACTCCAGGTCTGTTTTTGTTTTTGTTTTTTTAAGTTAGAATCCATTCCAAGATGACTAAAAGCTCACAGTAGTCAATTTTTCATAATGACATAAAACAGGGGTGTCAAACTCAAATTCACAGAGGCCAAAAAACTGGGACTAAGTCGTGAGCCAAACTAAATATTTACTGAAAAATTTCAACAACATCTGCCTGTTTTCTCTTCTTTTGAGATATGTAATGTTAAACCTTTTAGTATTAAAATAAATGTTTCATAATAGTTTTGCTTAAACTTCAAAAATAAAAAAAATTAAATAAATAATGTCTCTATAGTCTATCTGTAGCTTTTGAACTCCTTTGAACTTCCGTTTTTTTGGGTTTTTTTTTTCTCCACAAGGCAACAGTCAAAATGCACTAACACATTTGCAAAGCATTCTGGGATTCATAGTATTGGTGGTGCATGCGTCATGCCGGCTCGGCAGCCAGCGGGCCAGCTCTAATACATATTTGATATGATCTCGTGGGGCAAATATAATTATATCACAGGCCAAATTTGTCTGACATGTCTGACATAAAACCTTTAAACTGACTCACAGAAAAATAATTCCCAAGATCAACAAAGTTGGGCAATGGCAGCATGGGAGACGCACGTGTGTATATTTAATAATTGGTTAGTGTGTGAACAAATATAATCCTTATTTTCCTTCAGCTGTTTTTGACAAAATGTTTTAACAGATGTTTTACAGTAACTTTAGCAACATGCATATGAATTCTAGTTTTCACTATTGATCCAACTAAGTAAAGCCACTGGTCTAGAGTAGAGCGAGTCAAGACTATTTAAAAAAAAGTTTAAAAACATTTTAACTACTCCTCTTTTCCTTTCTGCAGAGACACACTGGTCTCCAGAACCATCACCATGTCTGCTACCCCAGAGCGCTGCTTTGGACCACTCCAAGATCCAGCTTTTATTCAGGAACAGTGTGCCCAGAAAGTCTCCACGTCAGCTAGATCTAAGCGCTACGAGTGTGACCAGTGCGGAAAGTGTGTGACTACAGCACATTCACTCCAAATACACATGAGGATCCACACTGGTGAGAGACCTTACAGCTGTGACCAGTGTGGGAAGACCTTTAAACAGCAATCTGGTTTAAGTGAACACCAGAGCATCCACAGTGGACTGAAGCCCTTTAAGTGTGACCAGTGTGGGAAGAGCTTCAGAAATAAGAAGTTAATGACTGATCACAAACGCCTGCACAAAGACGAGCGGCCGTACAAATGTGACCAGTGTGATAAATCTTATAAGCAATCACAGCACCTCGCAGTTCACTACCAAACCCACACACGAGACAAACTGTTCACCTGTGATTTCTGTTTGAAGATTTTCAAAACTCCACGGGAATTGTCAATGCACCGATGGACCCACACGAGAGAAGAGACCGCCTACAAATGTGACCACTGTGGGAAGAGTTTCTCTCAGACCAGCGCTTTGAAACGCCACCTGAACATCCACACACAAGACAAAAAATACAGCTGTGAGGAGTGTGGGAAGACATTTACTGACAGAAGCACACTTAGGAGCCATATGAGAGTCCACACTGGAGTTAAGCCATTTGAGTGTGATCAGTGTGGGAAGAAATTTAGCATCAAGAAATCACTCAGAAATCACAGCAATGTGTGCTCAATGTGAAAAGTCCTTTAGAAACAAAATATTATGTTTTTTGTTTTAAAGAACAAATAGTTTGCATTATTATTTGCCTGTAGAAATGCACTTGAGTAACTTTGTGTCAGTATTTCATGTTTAAGGACTAAGTAAAAGTATATTTTATTTATATATTTTTGCTTATTTTCAGTTTGAGGTCAGAGATCATTTTCGGACTGAACACAGACATTAGTTTGACTCAGCTGAGTTTTGGTGTGCTAACATTACCTTTTTGAAATTGTCATGTTTTATCGCCATGAGGAAAGACCATGGCAGACTGTTCGCGCTAAATAAAAGACACATTTTCAGAATAAGCCTCTCAGTTGTTACTACAGCTCATCTTTATATAAAACAGATTCAGATTCAAAAACAGAGTGAAATAAAATCATACTAAAGATGGAACCTGTTGACAGCAGCAATTCAGTATCTCCAAAGCTCAAAATCTTCTGTTTCAGCTTGTAGCTCCAGTTTAAGTTCACGTCTACATTTTACCTTTAGTTCGTAAGTAAAGAAATGAACTGACAGCAAAAAGTAAGACGTGAAGAAGTGAGGAAAGATTGTTTATTTTTAATATTACTCAATGTACAGCTGAAAAGGACATCAAATAAAGATTTGACAATTTGATTCAAAAACTGAGAGGGAAATAAAATGAGACAAGAAAATGGAACCTGATGACAGCAGCCTCCAGAAGAGGCAGTCATGACAGTGAAATCCTGCTGATGTCTTCACACACACTCAAGTATTGTTAAAAGAAATATTATGAAATGGAGATTAAAGGAGATATAATGAAATAAATAGGGCTGGTCAAAACTAAAAAAATATTAATCGCATTAATCACATGTTATATGCAAAACCAATTAATGAATTAAAAAGTTGCATATAGCACACTTTTATTGGAAATGTTCATTTATTCATTTATTTGGGACAGCACACAATTTTCACATTAACCTTGACAGGAGAGATGCATTGTACATCAGGTTGTAGCATCAGTGCTAATTTCCGCCTGTCGTCCCTGGACAGGTTCATTGATTGATTGTATTTAACTGACCTTGACTATCAACTGTTCTGGAGACCTGTAGCATGTTTTGGGTTGATGGGGGAAACCGGCGCACCCATCCAGACACAGGGAGAAACATGCAAACTCCACACAGAAAGGCCCTGGGCGACCTGGGGATCAAACCCAGAACCTTCTTGCTGTGAGGCATGAGTGCTAGCCACTCAGCCACCGTGCCGCAAACACTTCAGTGCAGTTTGTCAGTTCCTAGAATTTGACTTAATGAATTGAATTCAAAAGTAAAGTGCATGTGATCAGCAGCAGTAAAATAAAGTATTCAGTGTAAATCTCAACTGAAAAAATCTAATCAAACCAAGTGATTGAATGATTTGCCGCATCAGCCGAGTGTGTTGCATTATTGTTAAAGGAGACGTATTATGAAGTGATATATGTCCTGGTGATGCACTTAGTTTAACCAAAAATTTCCAAGTAGTGCCAAAAAAAAAAAAAAACACAGGATAAATACTGACCTCAAAAGATCCATCCAGTTCCAGCTGTCATATATTTCACAATGTTTCATTCAAAGTCCTGGTGTTTAGACTGATTCATGTCCTTTATAGTGATGTGTGTCCTGGTTAGGGATGCAACGATATTCGATATAATATCGAATTGTTCAATACTCCAGGAGGAGAATGGGAGAGCACAGTAGCAGACTGTAGGGGGCGGTGTGGGAGGAGCTCCTGTCGCTGCTGGAGGAGGCAGAGCAGCGCCGACACAGACGTGTGAACACAGTGAGAGTGAGACGACTCAGGAGGAAAAGAAATAATGAAATCATCATCAAAGAAGGAAAAGTATGATAGCCACTTTATATTAAGAATAGACTGGCTATATTATAAAATAGAAAATAGCCTGAGAAAGCTCTGTTCTTATTTTCACTGAATAAAAATTCTAAGCTGTAAATTATTGAACCAAATGAAGTAAAACACTTCACATATAAACTACAACTTTACAGTAGTTGTACTGTATTGTATTGTATGTATTGTATGTAATGTTTCATTAGCATCAGTGTTATTTTATTATACTCATTAGCAAAAAAATTGCATGAGATTTTTTTTTTGCTTCTTAAAATGTATCGAAATCGTATCGATATCATGACCCGTGTATTGAGATATGTATCGAATTGTGAGAAAACCGTATCGTTGCATCCCCAGTCCTGGTAATACACAATTTATTTGCTATTTCAACAAAGTGGTGGTGTCAGAAGAAGCCTGTAGCTGCAGTTTGTGGTTGGCCATGTGTTTATTTAAGCTACCTGAGAGTGAAAAAGCATTGCCACACACACCACAGACATACGGCTTGTCTCCTGTGTGCAGTCGGACATGATCAGAGAGGAATGTAAAGGTTTTAAAAGCTTTATCACACTGGTCACACGTGAACGGGCGCTCTTTGCTGTGAACGAGTTGGTGACTTTTGGGCCACTCCATAAGTCTGAAGCTCATACAAGAGTTTCAGAAAACCCTAATTTTTCCAGTTATTTATTGCAGTTCTAGTTGTGCAAGTCCAATGAAGAGCTTGAAATGATACAAAGGTAAAAACTGAACAGACAGATGTTAAAAAAAAGATAAAAGACACAAAACACAAGTCCAAGCTCTGCCAAAACTACCTCAGGAAAAAAGAACAAAATGGTAAAGCTTGAAAACATGGAGTGTCCAGCACATTGTCCAGACTTAAACCCCATCGAGCTGGTTTTGGGATGAACTGGACAGAAGAGTGAAAGTCAAGAAACCTACAAGTGCCACACATTTATGGGAACTTCTGCAGCAGACTTGGGAAGAACTTTCTGAAGAATATTTGATTTTTGTTGAAAAAAGAACGAGCCACGAGTGTGTTCAGCTGTTATATCTGCCAAAGGTGGACACTTTCATGAATCAAAAGTTTAGAATACGTTTTTGACAACAGTAAACAGTAAAAAAATGGAAAAACTGTGGTGTCCTTCACTCCACATTAAAGACACAGCTTCTGTATATATTGTGTTCAGCGGTTATTTCATTGTCAGTGTTGTGTTTTCAAACTTACACAAGCAGCTTCTATACTCTCCTGTACGTCACATCATTGTCTGTAGTTCTTATGTAAATGGATGTTCATCTTTGATATTAAATGTGAAAAGTATTTTCCTTTCCTGGAAAATGTATTAAAATGTATAGTAATAACAGCTGCTGGACAATTTTGTGGTTTCTGTTGTGTTATTATTATTGTATTTGCATTGTTCTGCATGTTGTAGGAGTAGTTTGTGTTTATTTTGAATGGAAGAATGTGAAAAATTACAACGTAAAAGTAACAAAAACCTCTTCTCACTTTATCACTTTATTTGTGGCTCAGTTGTAAATACACGTCTGACATTTTTAACAAACCAAGAAAATAAAACTTGTTGATTTAAGGTAGGCTACTTTAATTATGTGTTTCGCCTTGTCCCCCGTTGATGTTCATTCATTTAAAAGCGGTAGTCAGTGTGAGATCTACTGCTTAGTAACATGCAAAAGTAAGAAAATATAAACAGAACTGAGCGTCTTTCCAGCAAATGTCAAACATGGTGGTATAAACACATAAGGGTGAACATTAGAAAGTCCAAGCTGTTTACTTACGTGGTTTGTAGCTCTGCAGACAGCTCCGGTAAACTCTGTGCTCGACTCTGTGCTACAGACGAGGCTCCTGCTGCTGTGAGCATGAGAGGAGGGGAGAGACATCAGAGGAACTAAAGCCTCCCCCACAGGAACACTCCCCCTGCCTATTCACTGCACAAGTGATAAGTGGTGGAAGAAATACTGTACTCACTTAAATGTTATAAATAATCCTTTTTAATTACTTGTGCTACTGGGTTTTGTTGTGGAAATCTTTTCTCTGGTCTTTACTCTTTTACTTTAGGTTGTGGATTAATGGTCTTGTGTTTTGCATCTGTCTAACTAATAACTTGCTCTAATCCTGTTATCTTATGTACACACTCTGACCTTGTGCCTCCATAAGAGTCTCACAGAGATGTTCACTTGTTATTCCATCATTCCACTGATTGTTATGGCCTGATCCGTGTTGACCCAGCCTTGGGCTGACCTACCCTCCTCCTGTGGTAGTGTTATGTCTTATTCTATCTTATTTTATGTGTTTGTATTATTATGTGGACTATGCTCCCCTGAGGGGTATAAAAACTCTGTATGCATTATGGTTACAGTTTAGGGACAGGATAGGCTCCAAATGTGGCCACATTCACTGTAGCCTCCTAAAGACCTGGAGTTCACATATGCGGACATTTTAAGTCCAACACATTTTGGGTTCTTCAGGCACTTAATTAAATAGTTTTAATTTTTCAATTGTGACCTTATTATGTTCCATCAAAAATGATTAAAACATAAAATTAATGTTTTATATATCAAATGTGGACATTTCTCAGAAACTACGTCATGTAAAAATACAATTTTTAGTTTTTGCACTCATCAGGTCTATATCAGCCCAAATAACAAAGAGAAATCAATAAAGCATGTTGCGTAAGAGTTCGGGCCCTAGGAGGTTAATAAATCAGACTCCTTGATTCAAGACAACTTCTCAGTTTTTTATTGATTGTGGTATAGAAATTCCACAACAGGGTTAGTTTTTTGTTTTTTTTTTTTGCAGATATGTGACATTTTAACGAGTGTATTGTTATATAATAAAGAGCTGATTACAAATGTCCAAGTAAGGCTGCAAACTGATACTTCTGCACTTGAGTTGTTTTTTTCATTTTACACTTGTTTATACACTGTGTAAATATTCTAATAGAGACATCTTCTGTCTGCAGGAAGATGTTTTGCGATTTACTGTCCTTTGTATTGGACATTGTGTGGAGTTATTTATAGTCCCAGGGCAGAGGCAAAGTGACTTCAGACAACATTATGCAGGTACATAAAAGAAGCAATTCTGCTGATTTCTGCGTTGGAAGATTATAGAGCACAATGGGAGTCAACATCGCTGTAAACAACATCACGAAAAAGAGACACACAACTGTTGGTCCCTCCTACAGATCGCTCCAGATCAGAGTTTAAAAAAAAAAATCTCAAACATGCATGAATCAATCTGAATACAACTTCAAATGGTAAAAGAGAAAAGAAAACAACTATAACTAAAGTAAACATAGATTTTGCAGAATAGGTCCGCTTTAATACCTCTTTGCTCGCGGCAGCTGTAGACTTTGTTACGTGGTGTTTGAAGCTCTGTTCCTGACACATGCTCTTGTTTCCTCAGATGTACTGGTGGACGTGTTGGGGGTCCTGGCCTGCTACAGCATCACAGTGAAAGAAGTGAAGCTCCTGTTAGGCACCCTGCAGCCAGAGGGGGCGCTGTGGGTAAGTGCGGCCCTTACACTGGAGCTCACACCTGTCTGTCAGAGCCCTCCTCTCTGTGGGACCTACAGTGTTGGGGAGTAACAGATTACATGTACTAGAGTTACGTAATCAGAGTACAAATTATGAGTAACTGTATTCAGTTACAGTTACAGTTTCAGTGAGTGGTAATTGGATTACAGTTACTTTGTTGAAATAAATGGATTACACAGAGGTATTTTCCTGTTTTTACATTTTGGGCTATATCCCCCTCCTTTTTTTTTTTTTTTTTTTCGGTAATTCCACTCATTGCCGGAAACTAAACTAGGTCTAAACAAGATCTAAACCAGGTCTAAACCAGGACAAAAACTAGGTCTAAACAAGATCTAAACCAGGTCTAAACCAGGACAAAAACTAGGTCTAAACTAGATCTAAACCAGGTCTAAAACAGGTCTAAAACCAGATCTAACCCAGGACTAAGACCAGGTCTAAACTAGTTCTAAACCAGATCTAAACCAGGTCTAAAACAGGTCTAAAACCAGGCCTAAACTAGTTCTAAACCAGATCTAAACCAGGTCTAAAACAGGTCTAAACCAGGACTAAACCAGGACTAAGATCAGGTCTAAACTAGTTCTAAACCAGATCTAAACCAGGTCTAAAACAGGTCTAAACCAGGTCTAAACTAGATCTAAAACAGGTCTAAAACCAGGTCTAAACCAGGTCTAAACCATCCTAGCCTTTGCTACTCTACAGCAAATCAAGTAATCCAAAGTATTCAGATTACGTTACTCAATTTAAATAACTTTATGGATTTGTTACAAACTGCATTTTGAGGTGTGTAATCTGTAATCTGTAGGGGAATACATTTTAAAAGTCACCTTCCCGACACTGGGGACCTAATGCGTTAGTCTCATGTACCAGTGTTTTCCAACCATGGGTGCATTTACCACAGGGCACCAGGAAGGATTTTTATATATCAGTATAAAGAAATCAAAATCTAATAGTAATAATAATTGAATAAATATTTTCATAAGAGGACAGAGCAGAGTTGAACATGAGACTTAACTGCAGAAGACTCCTGCTTCAGTCTGAGAATATTGCTTCAGTTCAGCAAGTCGGAGGAAGCCGCAATGTCCTCGTAGCTTCTGTGGCATAAGTGGAAAGTTGTGGCAAAGGGGGCGAGGAAAGTCAGGGGACGAGGCGGCAGGAACCATACCAACAATGTAGGCCATCGTATAAACTGTAAATTATAGTCACACTGGTTAAAAGAATTTGAGCGCCATAGTTTTCCCAGTTTAGCTGAGCAAGATTTTTGTGAGGAAGGAATTAATCGCCTGCCCCAAATTGTGGCCTGGTTTCAAATAAATGCCTGGTTTGTTGAATGATTGAAAGAAAATAAATGCCCTGGCTATTAGTTGCTATTTTATGGCAAACCACAAAACTATTCTCAACTATTCCAATATGTTTAACAATTTTGAGCAGCAATGAATAAAATAAACAGCAGAATGAAACACTTTGTCTGTAATTGTAGTAATTTCATTTCATTTGGGCAAAAGAAACAAGAAAAACAGCAAAAGATTTTCCCAAAAAGGAGTAGGAAGAAGAAGTGAGTCATAAAAGTGATTAAGTCAACCTTCTACATCTCAAATCGTATAGCCATAGCCTCATACAGCCTCATACAGCCTCATACATGCATCATGAATTTCAGACTTCCGGTCATCGTGCAATGTATACTGGGAAGGATTTTCCAAAAAAGTGAGCATCAAGCCGCCATGTTTGTTTTCCCAGTGGGATGCGTCTATTGACAAAGCCAATCTTTTCAAGTCTTTTGAACCATATCGATTTTGTTTCTGGTTCTGATATTGTCATATTTTAATTTTGGGATTCGGACATCGTAACTGTGTGGTTGTTGGATGTCCTAAAAGCAGAAAATGGCTAGAGAAATGGGCTTCAGGAAGTTTGCGGGCCCCATAAATGCAAAAGGGAATCAGATCTGTATAAATCTATATGAAAACCTCTGTTCAAACTGTTTCCCTTCCCAACAGAATTGAAAAATAGTGAAAAGGCGAAGGCGATGGGCAGTACTGATCCACAGGAAGGACAAAAAAAGTAACTAAAATAACTAAAATTTGACAATATCAGAACCAGAAACAAAAGCGATATGTTTCAAAAGACTAGAAAAGATCGGCTTTGTCAATAAACGCATCCCACTGGGAAAGCAAACATGACGGTTTAATGCTCACTTTTTCGGAAAATCCTTCTGAGTATGCATTGCGCAATGACCAGAAGTCCGAAATTCATGATGCATGTATATACAGTCTCATACAGCCTCATACAGCCTGAGACTTAACTGCAGAAGGCTCCTCTTCAATCTGTGCCCAGTGGACCCAATGTGGACTTTGTTCAGCATCTAACCACTGTGGAAAGACGGTTTATATGTAATATTACCACCAGCCAAACACGGTAGATTTACATTTTAATAGAGGTGACATCAGATCAACCAGAAGTTTGGTTTATGGATGCATTTGGCAGCTCATTTCAAAAAGCTGTTTTTTATACAGCAAACACAGATTCCCATGCTTTGATAACATGTCCTATATTGCGTTCAACCTGGTCTGACCATATTTATTGAAGAAAGTAATATCAAACCAGGTAGGGGAAATATTGCAACATATATGTCACATCGGTTTTTAGCCTTAAATAAGAATGAAAAATTGATGTGACCTATTTGACAATAACAAAAACGTAATAATCCACCCAATTATTTAGCTGACAGTATTTAAGTTGAAATATGTACTCTGATCAATTAAAAGTGTATGAACAAACAGAAGCACAAAATTATTATACTATACTATATAATATAATATAAGTAATATAAATATAATAAGTATTTGGTTTGGATTACAAAACACTTTTTGCTAATCTGTACATAGTGCTCACAAATTTTTACCATCCCATGAATAATAAATATATTTTATTTCTATTTAATTTGTAGTATGCAAAAAAGAACAAGTGCAACATTCTTCAGGATGCACTAGAGGCCATCGTGGGAGATGATAGTGAGTTTGAGGATGTGACATAGCTCAGATGAAAACCCTGATAACACTCTTTATAAGCCCAAAAGCCAAGACAGGGAGAGTGACGAGTCAAGTGAGTGTGATGATTCAGACAGTAGTGAATCAAGTACATCAGATGATGTACCACAACCAAACGTGAATTCAGGCACCAAAATCATCCATCCTAGGAAAAAAAAACAAGAAACTGTCCAAGGGGAAAAAAAAAATTCTTAGAGGAAGAAGCTTTGAAACCCCTGAATGCACAAAGGACCACATGTCACACATCCAGACAATATTCTTAGTCCTCTGGAGTACTTCAGAAAGTTCAAACACCACACATTGGTGTCTTTACTCCTTCACAATGTGTTAGGAGGCCACACATGTGAAGGACTACAACACGCTCATGTGAGGAGTAGACATCCTTTGCATACATTGCAAGGTGCAAGTCCACATGAGTTCACAAAGGTGGTACATCTACTTATTCTGGCACACCATCACATCTCCACCACCACCACTGCCCAAGAGGGTTTGTGGTGGACTTCCAGATAATGTTCGTACTGACCAAGTTGCACACTGGCCTGTGAAATGTGACAGCAGGGCCACTGCAAACTCTGCAAAATCAATGCAACCACCACTCTCAGTGAGAAAGGTGATGTCCATCTTTGCTTCACTGAGGAAAAAAAACAGGTCTTAGCATCTGGCTTAGACTAAAAGGCTAGAGATACTTAACAGACAAAAGAACTGAGAAAATGTTTCACACATGGTACTGATGATACAAGGGTTCTATTTCTCTTGAGCTTTTTTTTTTTTTTTTTTTTTTTTTTTGCACAGTTTCTGTTTTTAGATCTGTTGTTCAGTTCTCTGTACCTATGGTAGCTTGTTGCGAATGCCCCCAAATAGGCAGTGTTATTTATTTTGATGCATATTTGCACATTTGGCATATTTTGTGAAGCAAAGCAAAATTGAAGACGAATTTTATGTTAAACCTTGCTATTAAAGTCACAGCTTTGATATATGTTGTGAAAATGTAAATAAAAAGGTAATTTTCTGTTACCAAGCAGTAATAACTGTCAGGTTTACTTATTTTGAAATAAGGAATAAGTTTACCACTAACGCCCAATGTGACATATATGTAACAAACCAGATCTCTGGTATGAAAAAGTGTTATCCTGAAAAAAACATCAGAAATGTGTTCTATGTGGTCCATTTGGTCTGTGGTATATCACACATAATTTTCCTTTAAGGAAAAATGGGTTTGGGTTCTTATGGGTTAATAGAGATCAACCATTATGTTTTTTTCATGGCCGATGCAAATATGATGAGTCTTAACATTTGTGGAACATGAGTTTGGATATTTCAGTAAATCTAACATATAGACCCCTGCCTTCCATCTGAATTTATGATAACATCAAATTCTAAACATGAATGCAGCTTATTGTGAGCCTTTTGAGGATGTGTGACGCGAATTAGAGGCTCTACTCTGTCTGAAACTCTATTAAAATAAACCTTAGATTTAAGTCTAACACAATCTGGCCATAAAGAACTGAGTCTGTCTTGAATAACATTACAGTCACAAAGTAGCTAGTATTATCCAGCAGTTTTTTCAGTTAGTCACACTCTCCTTTTTGTTGAAAATCAAACTCCTAAACAGAACCGTGAACGCTCAGACTGACCACAGGCTTCTGAAAATGTGCTGTTTAAATCCATTTTGTATTTTTTCCTTGAGTTTTCAGACTTATCTTAAAACCTTTTCGACAGTGTTTGCCCGTGTGTGCCAATGTGTCTCCATGGTAACTGCTGAACATTCCACAATAGAGATCCATGTAGAACACCCCCAGCACGATGGCCCTGCAAAGTATCTCCGTCGTGATGTTGTTTCGGTTTTGGTTGTGTCCCTGTGCAGCCCAGACATGCAGTGAAGGTGCTGTCCGCCCTCAAACAGACGGCCCACAGACTCAGCCCCGACGCCTTCTTCAACTTCCCCGGACGCAGCACGGCCGTAAGAACTCACAACAACATCAGTCAAACACCAAATATCACAATATCACATCTGACTGTAGCAACAATGTCAATGCTGTGATTATTTTACATTATTGACGCCAAACAACAGTGAAATCCTCACATTGATGGACTTATACCGATTGGAGACTGCTGCAATTAATATTTTTAAGATTCTAATTTTGATGATAATATAGAGAGTTCTAGGGTCTAGTCACAAATATACTCTGAACGATCAGTTTGAACATTTGTAAATTTCAGCCCTTGGAAATTTCTCCAGAGAATATAATGTAATTAATAGTAGAGGTGGATATCATTAAGAAGTACATAAACGATACATACCTTGTTACATAGGCCACAATAATTATCTCAATACTGTGCGCTTAAATATTTCAAATCGATTCCATATGGTTCAGTAAAAAATAAATCTGTTTTTACAAATGGGGTCATTTTTTTGTGTTCATTTAGGTCATGTTACAGATAAGAAGAATTCATAAAACTGTTGCGTTGGTCATTGCTTATTCATCCACAGCTTATACAAGCTCAATATTTCCTTGTCCAAAGGCACATGTGCAGTTTAAATGCTCTAAAAGCTCTGATACAGAATTATAAAGTACAGTTCTGTATCAGTATATTTGCTAAATCACTACCTGTGCAAAGGTAATATGAAACACACCTGTTCTAACCTCCAAACAATGAATATGTCAAATGTATGGCATAAACAGTCACAAAATAACTTAGTAAAATATATAAAAATACTCCAGTATATCGATATAGCTGCATCTACATCCCACGATATCGATACTGTGTCATCAGTTTAAATGATACGATATATCAGTATTTCAATCAGTAGGGCAGTCTGAAAGTTCAAAATCATCACATTTTACAATTTGAAAAACAACAAATTGCCAACAAATCATTTAATTGTTTTTGTCATTAGAACATTAAAAATTTAAGTCTTTAAAGCTAAAAATAAGTGTAGAGTCCAGAAAAGTGCCAATTAGAAAACAGACACCCCTCACGTTTAATTCTCTTATTTTATTTTTATTTCATTGCTTAAAATTCATATGGTTCTGCTCTTTTGACTTAAAGTGCAATTCCTTCACTGACCGATTAGATGGCGCACGTCGCACCGCTGGTAGAAGAGTAAAACTGAGCGCCGCAGAGGAAGAAACAATCCTCTATTGTGAAGTAAACAAAACGTGCTTTGTCTATTCTTTTAACAGGTCGGTAAAACTAAAATCACAGGTTTTATGTAAATTGTCAAAGTTATAAGATATCCAAGGTTATCCTGTGTACAAAGTTTGTGAAGGGTTTCTGAGTAAAGGTTGATGGTGTTGAAGCTAACCTGCTAATGCTAAGCTAATGGTCAAGTGTAATGAAAGTACAACGTGACTAACATAAACAAACTGAACAACAACATAAACATAAACAAATCTAAGGAGCGAGGAACCACTTGAGTCATATTATTTAAAGACATTTAGTGAATTTACTAGGTTTTATGTCACATTCAAGGTGCATATTTTTATTACCAAGTTAAGTTTGGAGAGACCAGCGACACCTTATGGCTGAATTGAACATAGTGATTTTATTTGTCTAGTATTTCATGGGTTTATGGTTAAAAATATAAATATCAGTACAAGATAAAAAGAGATAAAACAGTAATTGATTTAAAGGTGAAAAGTGTAAAAGATTTTAAAAAGTATACTGTATTTTCCGCACTATAAGGCGCTCTGGATTATAAGGCGCACTGTCATTGAATGGTCTATTTTCGAACTTTTTTTACATATAAACCACACCGGACTATTAAGGCGCATTAAACGAAACACAACAGTTAGATAAGTCAGTCAAACTTTATTTAACACGTTCACAATAACTCTCAACTTTGTTCAATTGTAACACGTAAAAAAAAAATACTGTGTGAGACCCTAAATTGTTAGAGTATTCACAATAACTGATAATTGTTCAGACAGTTGGGTGATTATGGCGTCCAGCACGTCCGCATCCCTCTCGTCATTATCCGAGTCAGTGTGGTTACTGTTCCCTGGCAGTTCAGTGATGATTCTGGTCTTGGTGAAAGCTCGGACCACAGTTGATACTGATCCTTAGCCCGGGCGTCCATGATCCTTTGGCAGATCGTGGCGTAAGTCACTCGACTCTGTCTCCCTGTCTTGGTGAATATGTGTTCTCCTTCTCTCATCCACTGCTCCCACGCAGCTCACACTTTAACTTTATAACAGCCTTGAGTTTAAAGTGGGTGTTGTGAGCGTGTCTCTTGACAGGTGCATTTTGATATTAAAAGGAATCACAGTATGTATTAATCCTGATGCTTCTGACTACGGGAGTCGTAATGCTGCAAGTGGTGCGGCTTTGAAGTTTACCAAAGTCATACTAAGACACCCAAATAAACTCATACTCATTTTTTGATGAAATTAAAGGCTTTTAAGTGCGCCCTATAGTGCAGATAGGGTATTTATAGTGCTATTGGAGATATGTGCAAATGTTAATATTCATGGATTCGTGTCACTTGGATGTAATGTTATGTGCATGAGAGGAAGAAACAATCCTCTGTTGTGAGGTAAAGCAGCTCAAAACGAGCTCTGTCTATGTTTTATTAAAAGGCTTACTTCACCGAGGCATATGCCCTCTGAACCGTTTGTCAGAGGAACAACATAAGCAACGCATTTGAGTTTCAATTGTTATTTTACGTTCTCAGTACAAATTAATATTGGAGCTTTACAAAAACTAGTGGTATAGTATGTAATATATCTGTAAATCAAATGAAAACTAATGATACTGATATTGTATCTCAAATGAGCTCACATAGACCACATGTGATTCACCCACACATTCACATATGGTGCATAATGTGTGTGTCCAGGCTATAGCCTTACCTCCCATCGCCCACTGGCCTCACCAGAACGGCTTCACCTTCAGCTGCTGGTTCAGACTGGACCCTCTGGACAACAGGAGCAGGGACCAGGACAAACCCTATCTCTACTGGTGAGTCACAGCCATCTGCTGCTGTCACAAAACACACACCATACGAATGTTTGATTTGATGTCAGTACTAAAGAAAAGCAAATTTAAACCACAAAAACTATTCCGGTATGCTTAACAAATCTGAGCAGCAATGAATAAAATAAACAGCAGAATGAAACACTTTAGTATTTCTGTAGTTGTATTCATTGTAACTCATTTCATTCGGGCAACAGAAACAGTAAAAACAAAATATTTGCCCAAAAATAAGTAGGAAGAAGAAGTGAGTCATAGAACTTATTAAGTCATCCTTCTACATCTGAAATCTTATAACCATTGCCTTATACAGCCTCACATAGCCACAAAATAACCGAAATTTCCCAGTAATGCAAAGAAAAAGTCCTCACGATAAATACTGACCAAAATCCAAATGTTACATGTCGCACCAGCCAAAAAATGCACAATGAAGAAGAAAAAAAAACATATATAAATCACACTTTTTGGGGGAAATTTATTGTATAAAATCAGAGACCAGGAACCAACATTTCATCTTGACAGACAAGTTTTAGTCAAAACAATAGAACAGAGAACAACAGACTGTTAAGGTCACTTATGAACAGTTCTTCAGATAACTCTCTAACAGAACAAGCTTACCAAACTCTCCATCTCACTCCAAATCACTAAATCCATTCAATTCTTCATCCTCGGTGTCACTTCTGAGCAACTCCACGACCTCCGGAGATAAAAGGAGTGCCGCTTCCTCTTCATCAAACTCAGCATCAGTTCCAGTTAGAATTATTCCGGCCTTTCTGAATCCCAACAGGATGGTTTTGGTGTCACTGAAGTTCAGGCTTTGTCCATCAATCCAGTGACTTTCAAGAAAGTGATGTTAGACCCTCCCGGTTGTCACAAGTTTCGCACTCACTCCAAACTTTCTTTTTGCAGCCTGATTACCGTTTTTGGTTGTAAATTTCGCTACTCGCAGCTTGTAATCTGCAAAATTTGATTTCCTTTTTGGGTTCATTTTTCTCAGTGGCCAAAGTGGCATCTGTTTTAAGCCTCAGGATGGTACAATCCCCAATAAAGATTAATCAAGCCATTAGTAAAAAGAGAGCTCTTTGTTGACTGCACAAGGAGGAGATGTGATTTTTGTGATGAGGAAACAACATTATAACAGATTAGAAAACAGTACTTTAAAAATGTGAATCAAATGTAAGTTTTTCAGTAATTTGTGTTTGCCTGTGACAGTGACAGCGAGCGGTTATATGCAGCGCTTGGCTCATATTGTTATACATATTTGCAGACAGGGCTGGAGCTGTTGTGTTGAGCGCCCCCTGCTGTGCTCTTGTGTAATGAGGCGGCGTCAGACCAAACTAAAGGAAGCTCCGGCTGTGAGCGCGTCAGACACTCACCATCACACCATCACGCTCACCACAGGGACGGAGCACGCACTTAAAGGGGCCCAGCGGGGAGCCACAATATCACAACAAATGGGATTTTCAATTACCATGGCGACTGGACAATAAGTTAGACACTAATGTAAGACAATTACCTTAAAACAGAATCGGAAAAGGTGTCATTTAAATGGTGTCAAAAGGAAAAAATTAAAACGAAGGTAAAAAAAAAAAAAAGACATTACCGAAGTGGAGAGAGGATCACATACACTTAAAGGAAATATATAAAACAATTATTTATCTGTGCTACCATTTGGAGTTATTTTGTTGAATTCTCACACTTTTAACACACTTCTCTCTTCTTCTCTCAAACTAAAAAATACTTCCACCTTTTTATGTCATCAAATGGTGATACAGGAAGTGCTCCACTGTGTTTTTAAACTTCATACAGCTTCACTAGAATCATTTCGAGAATTTCAGCCCCCTGGATTTGCCTAAATCTGGCGTTACATTATTTTAGCCTTGTTGAAACGGCGTCTCTTCTCTTTGCACCAGGAGATATGGGAGACTTATGGAAGTCTTAACTGAACAAAAGATGAAGCAGAAGTATTTTTAGAAAGGGCAGTTCCGCAGCTCTCGACTGGAAATGTACATCGCTCAAAATGGACCAGAAGGGTGCTTGTTTAGTGTGAATCTGATTTGGTGTTAGTGTTGTCACGATACTATAAGGCAGGGGTCATCAAACTAAGGCCCACAAGTCAACTCAGGCCCTTCACGACCCTTTGACCGGCCCATTAACACATTTGCGTCTTGTATTTTGTTAATTTTTTTTCAATAAAAAAAAAGATATTTATATTAAGTATTTATATTTATACTTAAATAATTATATGACATATTTACATTTGCAGCTGAATTTACATGACCTGATAAGCTCGAGATCAAACAATGACATGCGCGGAGTACTTCAGTGCAGTTAAAGACAGCAAAATGCGAATGTTAAAGTATGAAAAGTTGACAGAGAGTGCTGAGTTTTCAAAAAACAGTGGACGACCGATTTTTTTTTTGTTCAGTGTAAGGACCGTGCAGTTTGTCTGATATGTAAAGAAAGTGCGGCAGTTTTCAAAGAATATAATCTGCGTCATCAGGGTCTAACAGTTCTGTTAATCTAGCCTGATTAATCAGTCGGTTTCACTTTGTGGAAACCGTCTGTCCTCACAGCATTAGGATTCGTTCGCTCGACAGTAGACGGTTACTTTTTAAATTTAACTAATCGCTGCTATTTGGTCGTGACGTATGTAATGCGCTGCTAACTGGTATATTAAGCTTTTCCCAGATCCCGTAGGAAGAAGGACAATTACGTTTTTCCCCTTGATAAAATTCACCAAACATTCTCTTTGTTCCGGCTTGAAATCCTCGATCTCTGGAATTGTTGCCAACACAGAATGTATGACTATTGGATGATTGGCTTGTGCCCGGACTCGCACTTTCGGGGTAGTGTTTTCCGATTCCTGACCTAGTCGCTGGAGAGAAATAAAATTGAGTGAGGTCACTAGGTGGCGCCAGCTTGGCTACTGTTTTACGGCTGACGCGACCCCGGCCCATCACAGTCAGCATCGATAATGTGGCCCCCAGAGAAAAAAAAGTTTGGTGACCCCTGATATAAGGAATAGACTTGATGCTCAGTACAGATTCTGAAACCATGATGATAACTGTCATGGAAAATTATCTTTTTAAATAATAAACATCCTCTGAAGCCACAACATAAAAGTTAATTTAATAACTTTGCAAAGAGAGACAGAGGACAAGTCTGTTCAATACAGGGTTGTAACTCGTCAGACTCACAAAACATATGTAATAGTGCCAAAACAAGTATTACCAAGAAAGGAAACATCTGCATTTCTGCTGGATCATGGTGCCCCAAAGCAAGGACAGTTACTCCCTAAAATGAGGAGAGCAGCTTTCTTCAAAACAGGATATAAAACAAACACAATGAAAACTGTGAATACGCACCTAGAAGCAATAACCGTATTTTCCCATTACAGTATCATAATAAAAAACACTTTCTTTAGACAATAGAATGTGATTTTTAACATTAAATTGTGGTATTTTCTTTTATATTACCATATTCTTTTATATTAGTTGCCCACTTGTTCAGGAAAGGTTAATTTCTGTGGTGTGAACGTGACTTTTTTAGTATCGAGACCTGCTCAAATGAGAATCTAGTTTCGATACAAGTTTTAATTAGTATCTGATCTTCGATACTTTTGACAAGTTTAATTGGCTGAAGTGTGAACACGCTCTTAGACCCCGAACTTCCAGCCCATCTGGCTCTGTTACAGCATGTGTGGAGAATATATGAGTCTCATTCATTTCATATAGTGAGTGTTTGAGAGCCAGACTGAGAAGCTGTTGTATTGAAGCAGCCTCTCTTGTGTCTCTCACAGAAGCTCATGGTGATTACTGTGGAAATCAATAAGACCAAAATGCTTTCGACTTGTGCCACGCTTGGTCTGGTAGTTTAAAGGGGCTTTAGAGGAAATATAGTACAAAGGATTGGGAAATATCCAGACAAAAACATCCTTTTACAGTCGATGAAGACCAACAGTCCATATATGGGCAATTGTTTTATACAAAGTTTCAGCATGCAAACTAAACTAACGGCGCAGGCCACAATTAACAAACTTTCTGGAGTTTCAGAGATTATTGTTGCACCGGGATGTAACATTATCAAAGATAGAAGAAAGCCTGAGCCTTTTACTGGCTTTATAAAGCTCCAGATTGACGGTAGAAGTGAATTTGTGCAGCTAAACGGGCTAAACACTGTTTACTTATTATGTTAGTAAACATATGTTTAATGTTAATTGACTACTTAGAAATGTGGATTGTAGACACTGATGTGACACTGAACGTACAAACAGAAAATTAATTGTCATTGCAAAACAAGAACAATGAATTTGGCAAAAGAGCGCAGGCAGACGGGCAATCTGTGCCAAACGTCAAGGTCACAGATACACTGCTGCTAGGAGACGGGGCTATCAGTGGTGTGAGCCACAGAGGAATCCAAACATGCTGCTGCACCACCTACACCGTTTCTGAGATTACAAAATTCCTGCCAAAAGTTTTGTGAATGCACCAATGGGTTAAACAGCTGACTGTGCAGTCTTGAAAAGGGTTTTCACTAAATTATTCAAGGAACTTAATAAAGTGTAGTTTAAGACATTCATCAGTGGACCTCTTCCTAACATAGACCTAAGGAAGAGGAACAAATTTGCTCGACTGTTCACGTGGCTGTTCACGTGTGCACTAGAGTGTGCGCCAGAGGATTGCACTACATTGAGAGCTTTGATCTTTTCTGGAAAAGAAAGGAACTGTTTAAGGGAAATGGCCCCCACCTAAGCAGAGGTGGAGTGAGTGTGCTCACGGAAAACCTCCTCCATGCTCTGAGGTGCTGGCCTGGACAGGGACCTGTGCAGCCAGTGAGAGAAAAGAGGAATGAGAGAAGCATCCCTGCTGCGCCAAACAGAGAACCAGCCAGCGTGTCAGCACCAACACTGCCACAACCACCTCCCCCTGAGTAAGTGAATAAGTCAGCAGCAGCACCACCACCTCCACCTATCCCAGCAAAGAATTCATCACCAGCATCAACAGAGATCTCAGACCCAGCAGCACATTATATATAACGCAATAATGTGTCCTATCACAGCTATACAGACAACACTCAGATCTGTGTCTCACTGGAGTCAACTAGAGTCACCTCCAGTCTCTCTCTCTAAAACCTTCAAATCAGGCTAGGAGTCTCGGGGTAATAATGGACTCCAACTGGAACTTTAACAGCCACATCAAATCAATAACATCTGCAGCCTTTTACCATCTAAAAAACATCGCAAAAATCAAAGGTTTACTCTCTAAAAAAGAGATTTATCCATGTGTTTGTCTCCATTAGGTTAGACTACTGTAATGACCTGCTCACTGGTCTCTCCAAACGAGCTGTGAGACGCTGCAGTACATCCAGAACGCCGCAGCTTAGGTCTTGACTTGAACCAGGAAGTGCTCAGGTCTCTGTACTGCCCCCTGTGGCTCAGAGACTTTAAACCAACTCTGCTTGTACAAGTCTCTCCATGGCGGAGCACCAAAATACATCTGTGACATGTTAGTGCCATAATGAACCATCTCACACTCTGAGGACTTCAGGGACCGACCTCCTGCTGGTGCCCAGAGTCAGGACTAAACACGGGGAGTGAGTGTTTTAGATTCTTGCAGCGAAAACCTGGAACAGTCTTCCTGAACTTGTGAGACAGACCTCTACTTTGACTCTGTTTAAATCCAGGCTCAAAACGGTTCAGAGATTTTCATTCTGTACTCTTCTCTCTTACTTAATACTCATTATCTCTCTCTTTTTTAAATTTTATAATAATTTTTTATGTTTTGATTTGTTTGTATTGTGATTTTAAAGTATTTCTTATTCTATAAAGCACTTTGAATTACTTTGGGTATGAATTTTGCTATACAAATAAACTTGCCTTGCCTAGAAAACAAAATCACAAACTAAAGTCAAATCAATACTGTTCATTATTTTATCAATTTCACATCACTTAAACTGTGAGTATCAGTAAACGTTCTATGTCTATTTTTCAGAAACATCTCCAGGGACGTTTTTTGGTCATAACACTTGCCCAAATTACAGGTCGGATCTATGAAAAACAAACGGCAGTATTTGCTTACATGCAGATTAGAAACGGGCATTTGGCGTGACCATTACTAGAAAAGTTCCATAGTGTGTCTTTAAAAATCCTGCTCTATAGGAAGTTATCATGTCCAACAAATCGCTGTCATATCACGAGGTGCCCTATCTTTAGAGTTGATGGTTCTATTCTGTCCGTGTGCCTCTCTATCCTCAACAATGCACTGGGCTGTGGGCTTTATGTGGTCTGACAAAGAGGTGCGCTTGTTTTCCATTACGGGCACGCCAGGCTGAGGATGACAGAGCACCGGAGCCTTTGGGAGCGCGGGGCTAGAATGGTGACATCGGTTTGAAGAATGGGGCAAACGTAACAGTCTATAGGAGATGCTTTGTACAGATGAGAGCCCATTCACTCTTTATCTGCTGATGTTAGCTTTGTTATACGTATCTTTTATCTGTAAAGTCTGGAGGATCAGAGGCCGAGGGAGAGTGTCTGCAGGCACCATTTTTTATCTCACATCAGACAGTGTTAGAAGATGTTGTTGCTCGGGCTTTATTGAGAACTCCCAAACTGATCTTAGATTTGGCTTGTTTTGGAAAAGTGTTGAAGTGGACGTTTAAAGTTGCTCTAGTCTCAGCTTATTTATTTAATAACTTTACCCCCATATTCAAATATTCTGCTAAAACGAAACCTGTTTGCATTTATAATTATTTAAAGTTCAGAAAATGAAAATGGTCTTTGCTCTGCACCTCAAAAACGTGGAGTAAAGTCATATTTTTTATTTTTAAACAAAGTCCTTCTAATCAAATTAGGGTTGGGCAGTAATACGGTATCCCGCGGTATCAAAAAGTAGAGACGGTATCAGTTTCATTGCCGTCATTAAAAAAATCTGCAGCACATAAGGACCTAATATACTGTTATAATTTATTGAAACCTAAATTTGTTTGCTCAGCACAAATAAATGTGTGGTTATATTTTCAATTTAATGCTATCACGATTTAAAACTAATAGTATCAATCATGTTTCTTTTAACTGTGTGGGGAGATGACATTCCATTAGTTTTGTTTCGTTGTCACGTGACGCTCATAAGGGAGACCAAGACAAGATGGCAAGTCCGGCCACGAGTGAGTTGGTCCCAAAAAAAAAAGAAAGTACTAGTACATTTTGGCTTCAGATGCACATTTGTTTACGTTTTACAGAAACTTAAAACTATAAAGTGTTGATAAAAACAGCTCTTTCCTTTTGCGCTGATGCGGTTCAGCTTCTGTATGACTAAAGGACACGACTCAGCGGATTATATGAGTGTTCTTTCTGTGACAGAGGATGTGCTGCTGATGGTGAGTCTGTTCTGAGCGTGTATCGAATTGGAGATGGTTCATGTGAAACTTTGCAGAGATTATACATCTGCAGGTCATACACATAGACTGTACAGCGGTGCGGCTTCGTAGCTCACCAAAGTTGTACTAAAACATCTTTGGTAATACAGTAATACCGTATAACCTGGTAAAATCCTGAGAAGGTTTAACGGTATCAAAATTTTGAGACCGCCAAACCCTACATCAAATTAAATATCTTGTGCGATGTGATCCTGATTTTTCATTCATTTCATTCACCTTGGTTAAGCTACACTTTATTGTCCCCATAGCAACATTAGTCCTTTGCATTTGACCCATCCTTCAGTGCTTCTGGGGGAACCAGTCAGGAGCAGTGCCTTTCCCGGAGACCCAGCTCCAGATCTTGAGCTTGGGTTGGTCAGGACTAAAGATCTCTCTGCAGAGTCAGACTCAGTGCTGTAAACTACAAATGTGCATTTTTCTGAGTACAGAATGGTTTGTGTATTAACTCATAAATCATATTTTTATGGTCTTGTTTTTGCAGCTTCCGCACCAGTAAAGGCGTGGGCTACTCTGCACACTTCATGGGAAAGAACCTGATCGTGACGTCGCTCAAGTCCAAAGGAAAAGGTTTCCAGCACTGTGTCAAGTACGACTTCCAGCCCAGGAAGGTTTGGACTACATGAATAACTGTCAGATGTTTCAGCATGTATCAGAGTTATCAACATACATGAGTTTTGTGTCAGATATGTGATATATCATTGTGATGTGCAGTGTGGTAAATGCATTGTAAAAACAGTCATGCATGTGTTGCTTCTCACGTCATCATGTGCTGTTCTATTCCCATATCACACACTGGTTTTGTGGTTGGATCAATAAAGCGGCCTCCCTGAATGTCAAGTGTAACTCTGCACTATGAGCTCTCCTGCCCCTCTCCTGTCTGCTACTCAGTATATGCCTATCACCGGGTTCACTCCAGGCCTTATTCTGCTTTATTACACTTTTACTCCAGCCGAACTTTCTCATTTTCATATCTTAAAAACTATTTGGTTATGATTGAGTATACGGCATATTGTAGTGCCTAACCCCCCCGTGTGTGTGTGTGCGCTCACTCCTCAGTGGTACATGGTGACTGTGGCACACGTGTACAGCCGCTGGAGGAACAGTGAGCTCCGCTGTTACGTGGACGGACAGCTGGTGTCCTACGGAGACATGGCCTGGCACGTCAACACCAGCCACGTGAGTAAAATACATTCAGAACAATAGAAGGTCATGTTTCTGATAACAACCATCATTTATAGTAATAACAATAGAAGAGAGAACAACAGACTGTTAACGTCACATATGAGCAGTTCTTCAGATAATTATAACAAAACAACAGAACAGAACAAGTTTATCAAACTCTCCATCTCACTCCAAATCACTAAATCCATTCAATTCTTCATCCTCGGTGTCATTTCTGAGCAACTCCATGACCTCTGGAGGTAAACAGAGCGCCGCTTCCTCTTCTGTGTCGCTGTCGTCAGACTCAGCATCAGTTCCAGTTAGAATTATTCCGAACTTTCTGAATCCCGACAGGATGATTTCGGTGTCACTGAAGTCCAGGCTTTGTCCATCCATCCAGTGACTTCCAGGAAAGTTACATGGTGCATCCTCCCGGTGTCACAAGTTTCACTCTCACTCCAAACTTTCTTTTTGCTGCTCGATTATCGTTTTGCAGCTTGTAATCTGCAAAATATGATATTGTTTTTGGGGGCATTTGTGTTCAGTCTTCTCAGTTGTCTTTATAAGTTTGTTTAAATTTTTAATTGTCATTGATACAGAAGTAATGGTGCGATCGACTGACATGATACAGACAGGACAGCGGTTCTTTTAGTAGAGCCAAGTGACAGTAGTACAGATGTAACAGGAGCAGCAGATACTGACACACAAGACTAGAGCCTCTTGAGGCTGTCATTGTGAAATAATATTTAAGCTGCACCTGAATATAAGTTGCAGGACCACCCAAAAAATGAAAAAGTGTGACTTATAGTCTGAAAAATATTGTAAACAAAAAGCAAAAGTACAATGAAGATGAGTCAAAGTTGTTTTTTTGTTTTTTTTTCTCTATTCAATTATCCAATCAGAATGCAGAAAAAGTTCCTCACTACTGGCAGATCCAGCAATGATCCAATGATCTGATGTGGATATGACAGCTAATGAGTTATATAGTACATACCATTGTTGGAGCGCATGTTGCAACTTTTATCTGTAGCATATCAGAAAACAAATATGTGTTCAATAACTTACTGTGCTCTTTGTATTTTGCTGTACTCCACAATATTTCCACCATGTTTTATGCCACCAAACTATATGATAACTATAAACTTATTTTAAAACAAGTATGGTTTTAGGATAAATGTTCAGGGTCACCTTAAGGACATGTATTATGCAAGATCAACTTTTAAGAGTTTTAAACATGTCACAACTGCATTCAAGACTCTGAAAAGTTCAGTTTTCCCCCTTTCCCTCATATAGTAAGCCCACTGTGTAAAGATGACACATGGAGCGTTCAGTGGTGTCATGTCGCCATTTGGCCCTCACTGCTCACTATGGCAAAGTGTCCCTGTCCATAGGGGGCGCTGTCAGCTTCGGCAGAGCTCCACTGTCACTGTATTTTTTCAACCACGTCTGTTGCGTTAGAATCTACAGTATATTGAGATTTAAAATGTCAAAAAATAGAATCCTGATCATCAATAACAGCTATATATCAGACAAAATCTGTCACACAATATGTCTTCTTTAAGTTAATGAAAATCTTTGGTACGAATCCCCAGTGCACCTGCAGACTGAGTGTAAATGAGATGAGCCCTGTAGACTGAGGCCTGTGTGATCCACATTACATTTGCACTGAATAATATTTGTCAGATCCTCCACAGGGATGAGCTGTGATGTAGCACCGCCGCAGACAGAAGGGGCTCTGTCACCAGCCTCTGTAGGCACATATTTCTGTTGAAGAAATTACAAAAGTATATTGCATATTGTATGACAGCTTTGTGGGTATTTTTATACTTGTGAGGTTTGGCGATAAATATTCTGGACATTTTTTCATATTTTTGCAAACTTCCAAAACTTTTGATTACACTTTTTGTGTTATTATTATGAATTACAATATTTATGTTAGTTTTATTATGCATTTCTTTTATAAAAATAAATCAAATAAAAGCGTAGTATAACTTGTATTCATGCAAACCTAGCTTAGTTTACTGCCTTCTCCTTTCTTCTGTTGTGTATTTAAACGCTTATAATACCAAGAAAGTAATAAAAAAAACATATGGTTAAAGTGATAGTTCTATAAGTCGCTCCAGCCAAAAAAAGCGCAATGAAGAAGAAAAAAAAACATATATAAGTCACACTGGACTATAAGTCACACTTTTTGGGGAAATGTATTTTATAAAATCAGAGACCAGGAACCGATATTTCATCTTGAAAGACAAGTTCTAGTAATAACAACAGAACAGAGAACAACAGACTGAATAGACTTTAATATGTTAACGTCACATATTAACAGTTCTTCAGATAATTATAGCATAAACAACAGAACATAAGTTTACCAAACTCTCCATTTCACTCCAAATCACTAAATCCATTGAATTCTCCGTCCTCTGTGTCACTTCTGTGCAACCTCCAGAGATAAACCATAGATCTGTGATGTAAACAGTGCGCCGCTTCCTTTTCTGTGTAGCTGTCGTCAGACTCAGCATCAGTTCCAGTTACAATTATTCCGGCCTTTCTGAATCCCGACAGGATGGTTTTAGTTCTCATTGAAGTTCAGGCTTTGTCGATTCCAGGAAAGTGACATGGCGCACTTGCCCGGTTGCTGTGAAGCTGTGTTCTCCATCCTCGCTTTCCGCCAGTCCTCACAAGTTTCTCGCTCACTCTAAACTTTCTTCTGCTGCTCGATTACCTTTTTCGAATGCATATTTCACTATTTGCAGCAGAACAGTGGCTTTTTCTACAGGAGACATGCACAGTAGAGCAAGGTAACAGTGGTACAGAATAGATACTGACACACAAGTCTAGAGCCTCTCGCGTCTGTCAGTCTGAAAATTTTAATATATAAGTCGCACCGGAGTATAAGTCGCAGGAAACACCCAAACCATGAAAAAAAGTGTGACTTGTAGACTGAAAAATACGGTATGTACCTTTCTGGAAGTGGAAAATCAACTGCATGAGTCCATGGAAACAGAAAGTTTAACCCACACTTTAAACTTTCTCCATGTGGATAGATACGTTTTATGCCATATTGTGGAATATTATAGCCTATTGAACAACACTTTCATGGAGTCAGGTTTATGGAGATGCAAGACACAAGTTTTTCAGTGCAATAAAACATCTGTAATGACAAAAAACTGTGGCCTTAGCGAAGAACATGAGCTGATTGACTAAAATGAGTGAAAGTCTACAGCCGTAATGTGATGTTTTCTAGCCTGTCTGACCCTCTTTCTTTCCTCTTTCTTTTTGTAGAACTTTGATAAGTGCTTCCTGGGCTCCTCGGACACAGCGGACAGCAGCAGAGTGTTTTGTGGGCAGATGGGAGCGGTCTACGTGTTCAGTGAAGCTCTCAACCCCGCGCAGATATTTGCTATTCATCAGCTCGGGCCCAGTTATAAGGTGGGTGCTCACTACCATTATGTGAAGAGGCAATCTCGTGTGGAATCTATGGACTAAAGCTACAGCAGTGAAGATTCTGGGCCTGTCTTTGAATCCAATCTGCTATTTTTCCTTAAACTATAGTAACTACTGTAGTTTTTGGACTGCAGTCGTCCCTCGTTTATCGCGGGAGTTACATTCTAAAAATAACCTGCAATAGGTGAAATCCGTGAAGTAGTCAACTTTAGATTTTACAATGATTATACCTGTCTTAAAGGTGTAAAACCCCTCACCACACACTTTTTGCGTCCTTCTTAAAACTTATTGCCGCTGTTGTCCTTATGTTATTTTCCTTCTTCTTTACGTAACAAACCGAAGATTCATTGATTCCGTAATGGAGCCCTACAGCGCAGAGTCCTGCACGGGTCCATTTTTGGAGACCCGCAGTACAGCAGCGCACCCGCCCGTTAACCTGAGATTATGTCAAACTGCCTACGCCATGGGCTGAACCAAGACTAAACCAGGACTAACCCAAGACTAACCTAGGACTGATTCCAGAACTGAAGAGGAGGACTAAACCAGGACTAAAACAGGACTCGCTGTCGGGACCTGGTCGGAGGTAACCGCAGCAGAAAGGACAGACGGAGAGCTCCACGGCTCAGTCCAAGATTAGTCCTGGTTTAGACCTGGTTTAGTCCTGACCCGCCTGTGTGTAATTGCTACCCACCCATATGCAATACGCGTTCATACGTTGTAAAAAAAAAAAAAAAAAAAAAAAGCATGCAAAATTGCACACACAAAAAAAAAAACTGCAAAACTTTTTATTACAAATTATGTCTAAATCTCGTCTTCTTGTGGACCTAATTTCTCGTTTTTGTGGACCTAATCTCGTGGCGTGTCTCGTCTCGCAAAAATTGTGTCTCGTCCCACCTTCAAAACGGACTCAGGAAACAACATAATAACATACACTACCTGTCAAAAGTTTTAGAACACCCTAATTTTTCCAGTTATTTATTCCATTTCAAGTCTTGCAAGTCCAGTGAAGAGCTTGAAATAGTACAAAGGTAAGAACTGAAAAGATACAAAACACAAGTCCAAGCTCTGTCAAAACTACCTCAGGAAAAAACGAACAAGATGGTAAAGCTTGAAAACATGGAGTGTCCATCAGTCTCCAGACTTAAACTCCATCGAGCTGGTTTGGGATGAACTGGACAGAAAAGTAAAATCAGCCTACAAGTGTCACACATTTATGGGAACTTTTGCAACAGACTTGGGAAGAACTTTCTGAAGAATATTTGATTTCTATTGTAGAAAGAACGAGCCACGAGTGTGTTCAGCTGTTATATCTGCCAAAGCTTTCATGAACCAAAAGTTTAGAATACATTTTGATCAACAGTAATCAGAAAAAAATGGAAAAAGCGTGCTGTTCTAAAACTTTTAACCGGTAGTGTAGATCAGAAAATCAGAAAATCACGTAATATAGGCCCTTTAAATTACGATGCATACGATATTTTAATGAAATTAGTCGAAAATAGTCATGGTTTGCCAATCATCAGTGGGAAATGACTGTTCCTAGTGTTGTGTTTCTGGGAGTTGATTGGGGATAAGTGGTGACTGAGCGGTTTGTGTGGAGTATCAGATGCGGTGGATGCAGGGGGAGGCGCACGTACAGGCTTCATATCGTCTGGAGCAGGTGCACAGCTCAACCCCTCCAGACTGCACGGGGGATTTAGATTTGCTGACGCACACATACACAAATTATAACGTCTGTCTGAAAGTGAAATGTCTCTATGGCAGCAATAACTCATCAGATTACTTTCAGCAAATTTGGTAATTGGCTAATCGTGATGTGGACTATAAACAGACTCCGAAACATAAATTAGTGTTTTTAGTATTAACTTTCAAGATGTTCTCAAATGATGTAACTTGCGCTTTTGGATAAATAATTGCAGGTTTGCCATGTTAACTAATTAACAGATTAAATATTGGTTCCTGCATGCCCTAATTTTTAAAGGTGCATTGTGTAACTTTTCAGGTGGAGGGTCCGTCAAATGCTTTTTTCCATGGACATTAATCATTATCACGATTATTTTGGTCAATACTGAAATCACGATTATTCAAACTGTTATTTTTTATGATGGATAAAATACACACAACACAGTTTATGCACTCCTGGACTCATTCGAAAGTTTACGAATATTTATTTTATGCTCAACTACAGCCAAATATGCCTGAATTTCCCAAATAAACACGGATTTCCCAAATATTCACGCAAGTATTTCTGAAAGCTTTCTTACTCCATGTATTTTTTCCAAGGAATTCAAGAACGCACATCACAATAAAAAGCATTTGAGCGTGGATGAGCTGGTGCCTGGACAACAGCGCACAACAAGCACCCTTCAGAGATCTGGCTCAATTTACATGCGCACTTTATGGAGCACTTCAGGCTTTAAAGGGCTCATATTACGTTATTTTCAGGTCTGTGTTATAATGTTTCCTCATCACAAACAGACCTGGTGTTGTGTTGTTGTGTTGTTGTGTTTCATTCACACGTTTAACACACAAACCCTGCAGATTTCTTCTCTCAAACGGAAAAGCTGTTCCACCTTGTGATGTCATAGCCAGGCTGGCGCCACCTAGTGCCTCCGCTCAATTTCATTTCTCTCCAGTGACTAGGTCAGGAATCGGAATACACTAGACAGACTAGAAGAACCCCAGAATTTGTAGACCGTGCACCTGCCAATCAGTGAAGAGCCATACATTCTGCAGTGGCAACGATTCCCAAGATCGACGATTTAAAGCCGGAACAAAGAGAATGTTTGGTGAATTTTATCAAGGGGAAAAACATTATTGTCCTTCTTCCTACAGGATTTGGGAAAAGCTTAATATAACAATTTGTCCCATTAGAGGTGCATTACATACGTCACGATCAAATAGCAGCGATTAGTTAAATAAAAAAACTACCCGCCTACTGTCGAGCGAATGAATCCTAATGCTGCGAGGTCAGGCGGTTTCCACGAAGTGAAACCGTCTGAGGAATCAGGCTAGTGATATCATGTGGTAATACAGAGTCGGCCGTTGAGACGTATCCCAGTCACTAGTGTTGATTCGGCATCGTGACTTGTTTTGTCACACGAACATGAACTGTTTTGGTGCTCTGACGGCACTAACTAGCGTCGTGACTTCATGTTAACCGCATAGACAGCGGCTCTTTCTGCACTCAGGCTGCGCTCACATCCGCTGTGCTGATGAACAAATAATCCGTTCATACAGTCCATGCTCCTTTGGTCTATGCTGACACGTTGGTTCAAGTGTCATTACGTTAAGGGAACGAGTAGAGAGCGATAAAAGCCTTTTGACATTCAATCTCTTTGGTAGAGAGAGCAAGAGAGACAAGGAAAACAAACAAGCATACAAGTAGAAATTATAGAGGCCAGAAAAGTTATCAAGCTCGTTAAAAGTTACCATGCGATTTATTGGTTTATTGATTATCTTTACAGGCCTAGTATTACATCAGTGAAGCATACTACTTGCATCACACTGTGCTAGTACTGGGATGACTTAGTTTGGTGTGTGAGCGATGAACTTGGTGTTTGATCTCCACATAGATAGACAGGTTTAATACCAAACTGTACAACATTCCAGATAAAACAAGCGCAATCAGAGACAGCAACCTGGTCCCCATGAGGCATCGGTGGGGTCAGTTCATCACCACAGAAGCAGTTTATGAGGAGCCCAGCCCATATTACATGATCGTTATATCCACAATGCAGTGTGTGTATCTGTACAGGCCCATGAACATTTGTGTAATATTGGTCACACATGAGAATGTCTGTGTTTACTAGTGTGTAATGAAAATGTCATTTTTCATGAGTTGTGTACATGTTAGTTGTGTGACTGTAGATCAGTATATTGTGTATCACCAGAAAAAGAAGAAATGGAAATTATTTTTGTTCCAGTTAGAATTTAAACGGCAAGCACTCAAAGAGAAAGGAACTGTTATAATTACTGATTACCTCGAAAACTATGAATATTTTACTATACAAATGCATAGAAGTATAAATAGATAATAATTTTTCTGAGATTTTGAGACCGCTCCCGTTGCTCTAGCGCAATGCTTCACGGAGTTATGACCAAAAACACATATTAGACCTTGGTTACCTTGACTGGTTTCAACCTGTAACATCCAGTGTACCCCAGTAATGTGTGTGCCATTTTGTGTGATGATTGGGTGAATATTTTAGCCTGCAGATGGTTCAGAAATTGCCAAAATTGCCTATCCTTTGTAATGGCGTGACCTTTCAACTGACCCGTGTGACCTCAAATGACCTCGGATCATCACCAAACTTTTTTTGCGGCGTCGGGCACGGGGGCTTGACCCATGTACCAAATTTTGTGACAATCGGTTCATAAATGGTGGAATTATCGCGGGTGGACAGACACAACCCTTCGGGGATCTCCATGGAGAAAAACATTTGACGGAACATCCACCAGAAAAGTAAAAAAAATGCACCTTTCACATCTAATTTATGCTGGCATTTCTGATGAGTTCGACGATAGATGCATGAATACCCAGACGCTAAGCAATATTATAACTATTATCAAAAATAGATGAGAACAAATCAAGACCACAGATGCTATTGTTATTTTGTGTTGAAAATGAATTTTAATGTCTATAAAACTTGTTCTCTTGTGATCTTTGTGGAGTATAAAGCATTTTCCTGGTTATTAAAATGTAAATGTTAGTATAGAGAACACAAAAAGCGATAGGATACGCCTAAACTCAACCAAAGTGTATGAATTTTCAGACGACGCTCTTTGGCCCAGAGATATTTATTTGGGCTTTAGTGTATAACCCAAAGTCTATTTGCTCAGTACATTCCAGGTCTGTGGACTCCTGATAATAGACCACTCAGTAAGCTCCAGGCTTAATTTCCCTCTGTTCAGTCCAAATTGAATGTGCCCTGAGCCATGATGTCTAATCGCTGCTGTTTGACCATCGCCATGACGCCCAAGTCTGTCTGAACGCACATAATCCTCCTGTCTATTAGATGGAGTGGTCCATTACTGTCCGCTTCTGTTGCTTGTTCTTTACATATAAATGGAATAGATGGTAAACGGTCACATTTTTATACAGCGCTTTTCCACCTTCGAGGCACTCAGAGCGCTTTACAACAAGGAACCGCTCACACATTCACACACATTCATACACACACATTCATACACACATTCATACACCAGTGTACGCAGACACTGGGAGAAAGGTGGGTTAGGAATCTTGCCGAAGAACACAATGACAGCATTCATCTGTGGGAGCTGGAATCGCACCACCAACCTGTAATTTAGTGCAGGGCCCGGTCAAGCAGAAGTAAACAACAAGGCCAAAAATTCAAGTTAATACATCTGATATAAAAATGTATTGAACAGATACATATGTACTCTAGTTTATGAAACTGTTTACCTTTTTTCTGTACCATTTTTGGTTCTAAATTTACATACATTTTAAACAGACCATGTATGAAACATGGAACAAAAATTATTTCCCAAATTTCAAAGACCTGAAAATCATGTAAATAAATGGATGTATTTCATCATATCTTGTGTTATTCCATCTTTGAACTGTTGATGAAGGTACATGATTTTTCAAAATAAATGTATTTAAAATGATAAAAATTTGCTTGGAAGGACTGACATATTTTACAGAAATAGTTTCCTTTCATTTTGAAGTAATATTAAAGTATTCAGAAGAAAAAAGCGACAAATTATGCAAAATCATGCACCTTCTACTTGTTTGCACAATTTTCCCTCCGTTACTTTTCCCTCCGTTACCATGACCTTTCTTAATAAAAAATCTCATTACTCAAAAAGTAAGAGGTTTTTCAACCTAATCTTGTACCATATGGTAGAAAACTATATGAAGCAAATATTCAAACCAGTTTGTTAAGGATATGTAAGTGAGAACCAAGAGTTATCACTGTTTGTATTTATTGCCCAAAAAGTGCTGCAAATTTCATTCCCTCCGTTACCAACATGAGTTTTTATTTTTTGTCAACAACTTGAAAGAATATCACAGGTTTAACTTTACCCTGTTGGAGTGTTAACTCTTTCCTACATTCTGATACTTTACTTTATTTCAATAGTCCCTCTAGTTTCTGAATAAGAGACATTTGAATGTAAAAAATCTGCCCGTTTCCCTCCGTTACCACTTGACCGGACCCCTTTATGTTCTAGTAACGCTTGAAAGGACTGTATAATTACCCTTCAAAGTGCAGAAATATTTGTATTCCCTTGTTTAAACAATTACAACATATATTTTTCCATCAGCTCTTTTTTGCAGCATTTACTTTAAACCAAGGATATACCCAGTGTTTTAGTTGTGCATATCTTCGAAACAACACAATCATGAAATTTCCGTGAGTTATATGTTACACTTTACCCGTGCTATTTCCATCCCATTACTGATATTACTGTGTTGTAAAGTAAAGTGCTCCGCGTGGGCGTACGCAGCCACACGACCTGGTGCTTTTCGAGCTTTGATCATCTTTGGATATGTGCTTATACGATAATGACTTCAGTTTGTAGTAGGACTCGAGGATTTATTGTACTGTATTTACATTTCTGCCCCCGTCTTTGTTCCAGAGCACGTTCAAGTACAAATGGGAGAGTGACCTGGTCCTGGCCGAGCACCATAAGCAGGTCCTGTACGACGGGAGACTGTCCAGCTCCATGGCCTTCACGTACAGCGCCCGGGCCACAGACGCTCAGCTGTGCCTGGAGTCCTCCCCCCGAGACAACAGCTCCATCTTTGTGCACTCCCCCCACGCGCTCATGCTACAGGTCGACCCGCAGCTTTGAATTACTCTATATATATATTTACAACTCTCAAATGAGTCCAGTCGTGCATAAAATGTGTTGTGTGTATTTTATCCATCAGAATATGAACTGAAAAGGTACGACCTCAAGAATTACAATCAGGAAATGAAAATGTACGATTACACTTTCTTCAGTACAAATACGAATTCACAGACGCGACTCAACTGTCAAAAATACAACATCACTTCACAAGCAGAAGAAACATCGATCGAGATGCGGGACTTTTGCGCCGCATACAGACTAAACCAGGACTGAAACAGGACTAATTCCAGGACTAAACAAGGTCTAAACCAGGATGATTCCAGGACTAAACCAGGGTAGGTCCAAACCATGTCTAAACCAGGACTAAATCAGGACTAATCTTGGACTTAGAGAGAGCGAGAACCCTGAGCAGAGTGTCCGCAAAGTGCGTTTGGGCGATGGCTGCACTTAGACCCGTGCAGCACGGAGCTCTGTGCTGGTCTACACGGGGGCATGTCCGGGCCCGTCCCGACACTCAGTCCTGGGATCAGTTCCGGTTTAGTCCTGTTTTAGTCCTGGTTTAGTCCTCATGGTTCAGTCCTGGTTTAGTCCTTATGGTTCAGTCTGTATGCGGTGCAAAAATCCGGCATTTCGATCGATGTTTGTTCTGCTTGTGAAGTGATGTTGTATTTTTGACAGTCGCGTCGCGTCTGTGAATTCGTATTCGTACTGAAGAAAGCGTAATCGTACATTTTCATTTTGTGATTGTAATTCTCGTCGTCGTAACTTTTCAATTTGCATTCTGACGGCTAAACTACACACAACACATTTTATGCACGACTGGACTCATTCGAGAGTTACGAATATTTATTTTATGCTTAACTGCAGACAAATATGCACACGAATATTTCTGAAAACTTTCTTACTCCATATTGAGAAGTCTACAGTTTAATTCACACATTCACAGAGCTTTAATCTGGTGTTGCTAAAATTAGGGGCGCTACATTTTTACTTTTCCACATGTTTCACTCCCCACATCTGCCAGAAGAGGGCGCCAGATGAAAGTGAAATCTTACCCATGCATTTTCTCCAACACAGAAAGAAAGATACAGATATTTTAAGTTATAATATGTAATTTATCAGAAGTTTATGGAAAAATGTTAGCTTTGTGTGTGTGTTTGTGTGTACAGGATGTGACGGCCACAGTGACACACTCCATGCACCGCAGCCTCCACTCCATCGGTGGGATCCAGGTGCTCCTCCCTCTCTTCGCTCAGCTGGACTCTTACCAGCCACAGGACGGCCTGAAGGACAGCACAGTGTGGTGAGGGACCTGTTTTATGGCCATGGTTAAACTAATGATACCACAGTCACTGAATTGCCTGAAAAAAACTAAATATTACTTCCTAAAATGTTGGATGTTTACTCTTGCTGAATGTAGAAAGCTGACAGAAACTGTGCGTGCTTGGATGGGTTTGTAATGCTTAATTTTTGCAGTTCAGGTTCAACGGCACGGTGGCTGAGTGGCTAGCACTGATGCCTCACAGCAAGAAGGTTCCGGGTTCGATCCCCGGGTCACCCGGGCCTTTCTGTGTGGAGTTTGCATGTTTCTCCCCGTGTGTGGATGGGTTTCCTCCGGGCGCTCCGGTTTCCCCCATCAACCCAAAACATGCTACATAGGTCTCCAGAACAGTTGATAGTCAAGGTCAGTTAAATACAATCAATCAATGAACCTGTCCAGGGACGACAGGTGGAAATTAGCACTGATGCTACAACCTGATGTACAATGCATCTCTCCTGTTAAAGGTTGTATGGAGGATTTTATTTTTTATTTTTTTGTTTCAAGTTGTCAATGATAGATTATAGAGATGCAGTAGCCTTGTAATTATGATGACCAAAAAAAAAGACAATAAAAATTCATCAACTCTGGACGTGGTGGGGCTAAACATTTGCCAATAGATAACGACACTGCCTCGTTATCTGTGAGCTGACAGGCTGTCAATCAAACTCCCTACGTTTCTAGCGTAACTGACTTGCCTGCGCGCCGCCGGTACGTGGTTTACGTACGCCTGTCACGCAGTCCACAGACGCAAGACGCACAGACGCTGTTTACTCCACCAACGCAACAGTTCTTAGCGGCTTTTTTTTACCTATATCTTCCTCGCAGTTAGCACAAAGTTTGTTGCAATGGCAGACAAGAATCCAGGAGCAGTTAGCCGCAAAAGAAAGTCCGTTTTTGAGGTCGCTGAAAGAAGAAGACAAGGGGAAAAGCAGCGAAGCCAAACTAAGGTGATTCTTGAAGATTCATTCCAGCGATGGCGCGACTGAAGCAGACAAAGGGTCTAAAGACTGACGCACTGGTCTCCAAATTACTCCTGGACAGGTCACTTCTGCTTATTATGAAAACGTACTTTATTTCCAAGAGCTAGACAAACGTTTTTCAGGACACGAAAGCGATATCCTATGTCTGAAAACGTAATTTTCAAGGCAAAGAAAGAGTCCGCTTGCTGCTGCGTGTTGTAGCTAGTTCATTCGCACGGAATCTCCACGCACCTTCTCTGCACCCCTTTCCTGCTCCTCTCCCCGCTGCCCGATCCGCTCTTCCCCCTGCTCCTCACTTCTCCGGGCACGGAATCTCCGCGCACCCGCTCCCCTCTCCTCACTTCTCCGTCTTGCCTAACCAACACTGTAGTTAGTTGTTTACAAGTCATGTGCAGCGCACAGTTCAAACTGAACTGGAACTAACTAACCAACTAAAGCCAAACTAAAACATCTAAAACATCTCTTTGATAAGTTAGTCGAGTTAGTGGAATTTGTTATCGTTACAGCAAGAAATGTTCACATCCTCAATGTTGGTTAGAGCAGCGGTCCCCAACATTTTTTTCTAGTAAGAACTGCTGATAAACATACATTTTTTCAGAGACCGATGGAGCGGGTCATAGTTTGAATAGTTTGGATCGGGTGTCGTTTTCATGATATCGGTTAAGCCAATATCCTGGTTGGACCTTTAATTAGATGAAATGTCTCATAAGGTTTTAACTTTTATTCATGCAAAGTTGGTCAGTAGTGATTTGAAGGAGAAATAACAGTTACTTTACACTAGTTTCATTTGGTCTTCCGATATTTTATGTTATTAGGTTCTTTTTTCGGACCAAGAGTTTGTTTTCGTACCTGACAGTTTCGACTGCTCCCTGCGGTCTTCCTCAGAGTCACGTGATGTTGCTGTGATGTGTCCACTCAGTTGGTTTAAACAGGTTTTGGCGCTGTCTTCCTACCGGTGGAGGCAGGACGACAGCGCCATCTGCAGTCCGACTTCCTCAGGACAGTATCCCAGGTGTGTGAAAGTAAAAAAAAGCCCACCTTGTCCCTTTTTATAGTTCCATGGGTGGAGCAGTCAAAACTGTCAGGCATGAAAACAAATTCTTGGTTTGAAAAAAATAACCTAATAACATACATTACATAACACTAGTGGATCTTTTGTGTCATAGTATTTTAAAGAAACAAGTGCCATTTTCTGTCCCTACATTGGTATGGTTAATATCGGATATCAGCCCATGCTTAGTCATAGTATCGATATCGGTTTTGGAACTGAAATATCTGCATCGGTGCATCCCTAACGAAGAGCATACGACTGTTTTGGTTTGACCGATCAGATTCAAGTATTTGTAATTTGTCGTGTTGTTCTGCCTTTTCCTGTCCACTTTCAGTGAGAGCGACTCGATCTGGCCTGCGCACTTAATTAACGTTTACATTACAGTTAAATTCTGAGTTAGTACATTGTAAAAGGTGTGTGTTTCATGTGTTTAGTGTTTTACTTGTGTGTCTGGTACCAGAAGTGCTGCTGGGTTCAGCTCTGTGCCTGAACCTTTCCCCTCTAATCCGTCCTGATGAGTGTCCCCTATTCTCCTTCCTCTCCTCTCTTCTCTCCTCTCCTATCCTCTCCTCTTTTCTCCTCTCTTCTCTTCTCTCCTCTCTCCTTTCATCCCTCCTCTCCTCCCTTGTCTCCTGTCTCCTTCTCCTCCCTTGTCTCCTGTCTCCTTCTCCCCCTCCTATCCCTCCTGTCCTCTCACCTCTCCCCTCTTCTCTTCTCTCCTATTTCCTCTTCTCAACTCCCTTCACTGTCCTTTCTTCCCTCTTCTCCCTCCTCCTCTCCTCTCTCCTTTCATCCCTCCTCTCCTCCCCTCTGCTCCCTCTCCCACCTCCTTCCTCCTCTCCTGTCCTCTCTTTCTCCTCTCTCCTCTCCTCTCCCCTCTCTCTCCCCTCTCCTCTCCTCCCTTCTCTCCTCTCCCCTCTCCTATCTCCTCTCCTCTCTCCTTTCCCCTCTCCTCCTTCCGCCCCTCTCCCCTCTCATCTCTCCCGTCTCCTGTCCTCTCTTTCTCCTTTCTCCTCTCTCCTCTCCCCTCTCTTCCCTCCTCTCCTCTCTCCCCTCCCCTCCCTCCCTTCCTTCTTTCCTTCCTTCCTTCCTCTCCCCTCTCTTCTCCCCTCACCTCCCTTCTCCTCCCTCCTCCCTCCTCTCCTCACCCCTTTCCCCCCTCTCCTCCCCTCAGATCTGCCTCCGAGCGTCAGATCCGCAGAGTTAAATGTCAGCCACTTTTGTCTTACTTGAAACTGAAAAATGAGTGTGACGGACGAGAGCGTGGAGCCGTGGAGCCGAGGAGTCGTGGAGTCGTGGAGAGTTAGTATGCGCAGAGTCTATTATGTGGAGGCAGAGGCTGGGCTGCACTGATTGGGTCTCAGTGATGGTTTTACTCGGGTGAATGCCGGCGAAGAGGAGAGAAAGACGATTAAGAAGTTCTGTGACAATGCTCCATGCACTGGTGCTGCCGCAAACAAACACGATCTGCTTTTGTACTGTGTCTACTTCAGTTAAATCAGCTGGAATTCTACGTACTGACGTTGACTTGAAAGGTTATTGTGTCTTATTTACTGATTATTATTTATTTTGAGTTTTAAAATGACTGAAATGACCAATATTCTTAATCCGTGTATCATTCGTTCGTTCGTTTTTCAAAATAAAACCAAAAATAAGAAAACGAAAAAACATCTATTTTCGATTTTGTGTTTAAATGAATAATGCGACACCGGACTTTTGCTCCGCATACGGACTGAACCAGGACTGAACCAGGGCTGATCTCAGGACTGAACCAGGTCTCAGGACTGAACCAGTTCTCAGTCTCTAGTCTAGTCTGGTCCAGTCCCGGTCTGGTCCCGGTCTCCCGGTCTCAGGTCTCCTCTGGTCTCTCAGTCCTGATCACCCGACAGTCAACGCGGATGCCCCTCTGGGCCCTTCCTGGCACTTCTGGTTCAGTCCTGTTTCAGTCCTGGTTTAGTCCTGGTTTAGGACTGAGACCAGGACTGAGACCGGGACCAGACCAGGATTTAGACCTGGTTTAGTCCTAGTTCAGTTCTGGTTTAGACTTGGTTTAGACCTGTTTTAGTCCTGATTCAGTCCTGGTTCATTTCTGGTTTAGACCTGGTTTAGATCTGGTTTAGACTGGCTCAGTCTTGGTTTAGTCCTGATTTAGTCCTGATTCAGTCCTGGTTCAGTCCTGGTTCAGTCCGTATGTGGTGCAAAAGTCCGGCATCGCAGTTTAAGTCACAGAAAACGGAAATGGCCGTTATTCGTCTTTTCATTTTGGTTTTGGAGACAAATAATGAAGAAAATAGTTGTTTTTTTGTTTTCTGAATCCCTACGATGGTTTCGTTTTCGTTGTCACTGAAGTCCAGGCTTTGTCAATCAATCCACTCCAAACTTTATTTTCTGCTGCTCGATTACCGTTTTGGCTGCAGATTTGGCAACTTGCAGCTTGTAATCTGCAAAATATGATTTTCTTTTTGGAGGCATTTGTGTTCAGTTTTCTCAGTCGTCTTTATAAGTTTGTTTAAATTAGTACAGAAGTAGTGGTGCAATCGACTGACATGATACAGACAGGACAGAGGCTCTTTCTGCAGGAGACATGCGCAGTAGAGTGAAGTGACAGTGGTACAGGAGGAACAGGAGCAGCAGATACAAATTTTGATGTAACTCTCAAGAAACACCCAAAACGTGAAAAAAAAAGTGTGACTTATAGTCCGAAAAATACGGTAACTTAATGATCATATTTCTTAAGTCCTTTTAAGTGAGATACTCTGCAGTACTTGAAAACAAAGCTGCTGTGTTGTCCTTTGAACCCCGTAGACCGTGTGCATGGTTTTCTATCAGTAGGCTCAGCTGGACAGAAGTGTGGTGTGGGATTGTCCAGCTGATGTCGGACCTGACCTTCTTCTGTTTCTCAGCAGAGCACTGGTCACAGCACTGGGAGAAATGGGCCCCAGTACACGACA